AGAAAATCAAGTCTTTCTCCGCAAAACTGGCCAAGTAAGGCTCGTTTTTGCACCATGCAATCGGCTATTTTTTCGTAATAGTTTGCAGTGTGCAATGCAAAAAAGGAAAAATAAGGGCCAGAAATTTTGATGCGACAAATGCACATTATTTTTCCGACTGACTGATACAAAGTGACCGTAAGATAGCATCAATTCTTCAAAATCTTATAATAACTCGCGCTGAATCTCAGGGAAATAAGAAGAAATATTGCGGTGAATTTTGGCCGGAGTCCCCGAGATTTTCAGCCTGTCGGAAAAATAATGACCCTCTGTCGCATTGAAAATTGCATCACTGCCGAGAAAATGAATTGTCGCGACAAAATGAAGTTTCTTTTCACTTCAGCGGCACGACAGGTGCAGTTACATTGCGCTTATTATTTTCCCGACAGATTAAAGTGTTTTTATAAAGCGATCATGGGCAATTCCTTACACGGAAAAATTACAGTACCCCCTTTTCCAAAAAACCTCCCTAAGCTCCGCTACCGTCCCTCAACTACCCCAAAACACTGCTCAAACTTTCCCTCTACCTCTCCATTTTCGGCCATTCAACCTCATCGTTACCCAAATGCAAATTAACCCTGATCCCATCGCGCGTACAAAGCCCTCCACTTTTTGTCACTTGTTATAAAAACGGAGGAGTTTTTTTTCAAAAGTTTCTCTGGATTCTCACATTTATCTCAATTCGCGCGGCCTTCTCCTTTTCGGCGTCCTTAAAGAGAGAGTTGACCGTAGGAAACCGGGCTGTAACTGAATTCCACTTAAGTCATCAAAAAAAAGAGGAAAGTTGAGGGAGACAAATTGGGCGAGGATTCATTTACTTCGCTAATTGAAAAGGAGGTTTTTTCGGCTTTTTTGAATAAAATTTTTGAGTGAGGATCATGGGAAAGGTTGAGAGGGTTGATAAAAATGAGAAAAAATCTTTTTTTTTTTAAAAAAACAATTTTATTACCATGCAAAGAAAAAGTGTTGTGGAGCGTCAACCGTCTCCACAATTCCCACAGAAATTAGCATAAACCAAGTCATATAAAAGCAATGTCTCGTCACCAATTATCATTTATTAATCTCATTTCTCTTTTTGGGCGGTCGCAATAAACCTATTCCTAATCCTGTGTCTCTATCTTCTGCCTATCCACGTTCGATCATCCACCACATGGGGGCTGAGACGGGGATCTTCCTACAATTTCTGTGGGAATTGTGGAGATGTTTGACGCTCCACAACAAATAGGAGTACGTATTTTACAAGTCCGGGTAAATTCAATTTTTTTCGGCTATGATGCTGGGCCACGCTTTTCGGCAAGGCAATTTTTTTTGCACTGTAAAAGGCACACAATAAGCAAAAACTACGTGCGATGCGAGTGGTTCTTTCCATTATACCCTTCGGGACACGTCTTATCCTGCCTTGAGCTGTGCAACTTGCGAGATATAAAAGTCGGTATGGCCGAAATGCGTGGCTCAGCATCATCACCGAATACCCGGAACCCCTCTTCTATTCCACCAAATAGCTTTATGATTAAATTTTTGAAAGCAATATCTTGTAGATACAATAAGAGGGAAAATAATGGGCACAATGTTGCTGCGCCTATCGCGTTGAAGTGAAAAGCAATGTGATTTTGCCACGACACAATTCATTTTTTTCGGCGGTAATGCGATTTTCGATGCGGCAGAAGGCTCATCATTTTCCCGACAGACTGGAAATCTCGAGAATCTCCGGCCAAAATCTGCCGCAAGACTTTTTTGATATTTCCACAGTGCAAAAAGAAGAAAAATGCATGGTAGAAAAAGTCTCCGCACTTTATGAAAAGACTAGTATCAGTCTGTCGGAAAAATAATGAGCAGAATGTCGCTGCGCCGATCGTGTCGCTGAAGTGAAAATCAATTTTAATTTTCCGCAACACGAATAATTTTCTTGGCAGCGATGCAACTTTCGATGCTAGAAAGTGTTCATTATTTTCCCGACAGACTGATTTTATCACAAAAATTTATTTTTGATTGCTCCAAAATTCCTCTCCCTAATTTTCCCATCAAAATAATTCATTTTCACGCGATTTTCTATGCGACCGAGTGCTCATTATTTTCCCGACAGACTGATAATAAGTAATCCTTAAGAAACTTCTATCTTTCTCTGTACTTATAAACAAAAATTCACAATATTCCAACGTCTCCCGTATCCCAGAAACCCTCAATAAAATTAGCCTGTAAGTAACCTAATAGTGACTCTTCTCGAAACCCAATAAATCCCTTCTTTTTGCGATTTAATGATCCCTCCATACCGTACTCCCCTTCCCCATTAAATGAAATCAAATCCGGAAGTCCGTTTATTGCCGGACTCGGCGGAAAAAAACGCCTCTCGGAGCGAAAGTTTTGGGGTGTCGCCATTAAAATGTTTTCGGTCGCTAATGTCCCGGAACATTCGGCTCGAATGGTTATGCAATATGATCTGGAACGGCGCTCAAGGCTGGCGGATTTGTTGGATAAATGAGGTTATGCGACATTATGTATGCATGTATACTGTAGTCCTGTAAGAAATGGTTTATATCCGTCTGTCGGGAAAATACTGAGCTCTCTGTCGCATCGAAAATCGCCGCTGAGAAAGTAAATTGGGCACTTTTGAAACGCAATTTCGGATGCGACATTGCGCTCATTATTTTCCCGACAGCATCCAAGTTGAAGCCCATAAATCGCAGCTAAATTTGGCATGAAGTATTAGCCTAGCATAGTTTTCATATTCATAGAATTTTCGGTTTTGCTCTGCAGACGCCGCTGACAAGTTGCTAGGAATTTGTGAGATATTTAAAGGTCTTTTTAACATGCATAGGCGACAGCTACTGATTTTTTTCCAGAATTTTTCACAGGTCTACTTCACGACAAGATTTTGGATATTTTTTATATATGTGTCGGGAAAATAATGTGGAGTCGAAAATGTAAATGAAAATCATCGCTGTGCGACGGCTAGCCGCAGCTGGAGGTTTGGTGCGCAACTGCGACGAGTCAAAAAATTTAGCTACAAAAAAATCCCATTATTTTCCCGACAGTCTGGAAAATAATGAGCGCCATGTTGCTGTGCCGTTCTCTGAAGTGAAAAGAAATTTGATTTTGCCGCGAGACAATCCATTTTCTCGCCGATGCGATTTTCGATGCGACAGAGTGCTCATTATTTTCCCGACAGACTGATATATACATATTATAGTGGGAAATAACACAAAATTAAATGCAAATCGACAAGCCGCGGCCTTAATGGAATTCAAAAAAAAAATAAAAATATAAGCCGATGCGTATTTTACAATCACCCAAACAACATTTTAACATTTTTACTATATCATAGCTTATTTAAAACCCCAAAAAATCTCGATATTACCAACAAAATCCACCGTATTTCCCCTCCTGAGTCAATAAAATTAATCTCAGGTCTTGGATTTCCGAGCATTTCGGACCAGTTGATTAATCTCGAGATCGTGGCCATCAACTTTCCCCGATTAAATATGCTCTAAGGACTTCGTTCAAGCCAGATTATAGGCACAGATGGCCGAAGAATCATCTTCGAGGACGAGGAAATTAACTTTTCGATATTAATTTACAACGTTGAATAAAATAAAAATTGGTAGTTAAATCCTTCGTATTTTAAAAACAAAGAACGTCAAGTATTAAAAAAGCCCCAAAAATTATCAGTATGTCGGGAAAATAATGTGGATTTGTCGCATGAAAATCTCTCCCTTGTCGGAGTCGCCACGCCAAATTTCCAGCCGCGAGAAGCCGTCGCAAAGCGACGATAGGCGGTTTCGAGGATCCACATTGCTTTCCCGACAGACTGACATGGACCAATTTTTCGTTTTCCCAGTGAAATTTGCCTGGAAATTTGCTTGGGTTTGGCAATTCTAACCGCATTTATCAGTATGCCTTTCAGTTGCACACTTTTTCGTCATCCTGGGAAAAACCACTCGATTTTGCGGTCATCGACCGAACGGCAAAGACTTCGTGTACATAGCAAACAGGACCTTGATGGAAAGGAAGGCGATGGAGACGGTTGGTCAGCTCAATTCAAAGCAGAAACGGCGAAGGAGGACGGTGATATCTCGTCGGCGTAATCCACATTAGTTTTATTTAGTCATTTGGACGATTGTGAATGATATTGCGAGTGTTCAAAACCCAACGATGAGGTAGGAGTCTGGCCAAACATCTTCTCAGAACTCCTCTATCATTTTCAGAGGGCTCGAAGTCTCCTGTGAAATAAGAAGAATCTCAACGAGAGCAGGTTACATGAAGCGTTTACTAGCCCTATGTTGTCGGAGCAATAACTCGTTACAGAGATAAAGACAATGTAAAACTATTTCTATAGTTGGATAGGTCTTTCTTTACTCTATCAGGGGACCACTTTTTACTCTTTTTGACCTTTGGGCTAGCTAGTTATCAGCTGAGACACGCATCCCTGTTGTCATTTTGAACGAAAATCGGGACCGACCGGTGGCGGCAAAAAGCCCGGAATGCTGTGTTCCTTAAAGTTTTTGGATGTCACCCTCCCTGACTTTATTGGCAAGTGTAGACGCCAAAAAGCAGTCTGGCGACTTTTCGGAAGGGCTAGTAAAGTCCTCTTGTAATCTGCTGCTGTTGGGGTTGTTCATGGGAGATTGGGAGCTCTGTGAATGTGACAGTGGAGTTTTGAGCAAGGTTTGGACAGACACCTGCTTCATCTTTGAATATTGAACTTTGTTGAGCCCTGTCCGGAACGATATTGAAAGTCAGAAATGAGGCCCCGCCCTCGCTGATGTTCAATCTATCCTTCAATTACATAGCTGAAGCCGTTTTCGGCTAATATCACACAGATTCATTACAATTTACACACTTCAACTCAGTTCCCATCTCATCAAACATGTTTACTCAGCCGACATTTTCCGACAGTGTTCACACAAAGAGCCTGATGTTGACCTACACAAAAACGCTGTTATTTGACCTTATCCTTCATTATCATGACCCAGAAGCTCTTGGTGACTCTGTTGATTGTAAACTTGCTTGGTAGCAATGCCTTCCCGAAGCTGGACAAGCTAGAGAAGATGGGCAAGCTAGACAAGCTAGAGAAGCTAGGCAAGCTAGACAAGCTATCCACGCCTTTGACGTATTTTTGTGGGCCATGTAAGACGTTGTTGGAGAAGTTTCGGTGTAAGATTCCGACGGCAGACGAGCTGGCCGACCGCTCGCTGAAATTGTTGATACAGGTAAGGACGATAAAATATTAAGGGAAGAACATGAAACGTTGAGGTTATTAATTTGTCGAGAAAATAATGAGCACAACGTCGCATCGAAAATCGCATCGCCGCCGAAAAAATGGTTGAACCTGAACTCTACCCCTTTTCTGAACTTTACCCCTTTTTCAACTCTACCCCTTTTTGAACTTTACCCCTTCAGAACTTTACCCCTTTTTCAACTCTACCCCTTGAATGAACTTTACCCCTTTTTGAACACTACCCCTCATTTTGAAAATTGAAAAAATGAGGTGTGACACCTTATACGATGAAAATTTTTTCAAATTGAAAATAATAAGGTGTGACATCTTATACGATGAAAATTTTTTTCAAATCGAGAAAAATCAGGTGTGACACCTTATACGATGAAAAATTTTTTCAAATTGAAAATATTTTTTCATCGTATAAGATGTCACACCTTATTATTTTCAATTTGAAAAAATTTTTCATCGTATAAGGTGTCACACCTTATTCTTTTCAATTTGAAAAAATTTTACATCGTATAAGATGTCACACCTGATTTTTCTCAATTTGAAAAATTTTTTCATCGTATAAGATGTCACACCTTATTATTTTCAATTTGAAAGAAAATTTCATCGTATAAGATGTCACACCTGATTTTTCTCGATTTGAAAAAAATTTTCATCGTATAAGATGTCACACCTTATTATTTTCAATTTGAAAAAATTTTTCATCGTATAAGGTGTCACACCTTATTCTTTTCAATTTGAAAAAATTTTACATCGTATAAGATGTCACACCTGATTTTTCTCAATTTGAAAAATTTTACATCGTATAAGATGTCACACCTGATTTTTCTCAATTTGAAAAATTTTTTCATCGTATAAGATGTCACACCTGATTTTTCTCAATTTGAAAAAAATTTTCATCGTATAAGATGTCACACCTTATTTTTTCAATTTTCAAAATGGGGTAGTGTTCAAAAAGGGGTAGAGTTCAGATTTTTTGGCGAAAATCAAAAAAGGGGTAGAGTTCAGCCTTTTTTGGGGTAGAGTTGAAAAAGGGGTAAAGTTCAGATTGGGGTAAAGTTCAGAAAAGGGGTAGAGTTCTGCCGCAACGCGAAAAAATGAATTGTGTCGCGACAAAATCAAATTTCTTTTCAATTCTGTGACGCGATTGGTGCAGCGACACTTTGGTCTTTCTTTTCACTAATATCTTGTAGCCGAATAACAGGAAAAAAGAGCCAAAGGGTACTAGCCCTTCCGTAAAGTCCCCGGACTGATTTTTAGCGCTTGAGCCGTACGTTAAAAGTCATGGTGCGAGTGACAGCGAAAAAAACCTATTGCACGGTGCAAAAAGTTCAAAGAAAACTTTTGTTTTCCCACGGTGCCGCCGATTTCAGTCCGGCGACTTCCGGAAGGACCAGAAGCATACCTGAGCCCTCAACTCTCGCTTAATAACCGCAACACAGTGGCAAAAAACGTACCATTTTGCATTCGGGAAGTAGCAAAAATGTGGCAAAATGCTTCCCTCTTCAAGTGAAAAAACTTCGTTTTGAAGGGTGCGCCTTTTTCCTCACAAGAACAGATACTTTTGAAATCGGAGTTTTTTCACTTGGAGAGGGAGGTATTTTGCCACATTTTTGATATTTTCCAGATGCAAAACGGTACGTTTTTGGCCACTGGATCAGGTCCGCCACTGTACTTCGGCGGCAACACAATTCATTTTCTCGGCGGCGAGTTTCGACACAGAGTGCTCATTATTTCCCCGACAGACTGACAAACCGGCTAGCCTTTAAATTACACGTTTCTTGGTGTTGGAGTCAAGTGATAATTTTCTCATTTTTTAGGAACAATGCGCCGAGTACACGGCTGGTATTCCCTTCGCGCTTCAATTATGCGTCAAAGCCGGGGATGCGGCGATGCGAAAAATCTTGGACAAGGTCAAGGAGAATGTGAACACTGGGCGGCGATTCCATCCGGCCGACGATTGCGCAACGATGAAATTTTGTGAATGATTTTGCAATAAATCAAAGTTTAGACGAAAATACCGTTTTCGCTTCCGTATTTTGCCATTCTAACGCTTCAAAATACAATCTCAAGTGTTTGTGGCATTATTTTGTAACCGTTTTCTGCCATTCCCACGTGCCGTGCTCAAGTTGTAAAATGTGTAGTTAAATGTAGTTTTGAAGCCAATTCCGCAAATACATACGTATCAATTATATCTTGTGCTTGCGAGAAGCGACCTTTTTAGCGGATATCCGCGTGGACGCTGTGAGCAAAGATGGTGGAGATTGGCGGGGAATTTGGTTCGGATCAGATAATTTTCAGACAAATTTCCATGAGTTTTTTATCGAGAGGATGCAAAAAAAGGCTATGGCGTGGATGTGATATGAGAGAGCATGGACGTACCAGGCGGATCAACAATGTTTGTAGGCTTGTTGGCCCGCCTTCAAGCCAACAAGCTTGTCTTAATTCTTCAAACGGCGACGAATAAAATTCACGGTGCACTACGAACATTTTGATGAAACTTGACACAACTTACTAACAAGGGAATGGTCTGAACTTCCCCCAGCGTTAAGGAAAATGACTAGTACAGGTGGATAGAGCAGGTCGACTTTGGTAGAAAAAGGCATTTTCCAGCTGCAAAATATGCACGGCCGACGAGAAAAATCGACCGAAAGTTCCGAAAAAATTTCCTCTTTCTCTTCCCTCGGAAAAGAAGAGGTGCTTCCAGTGGTTCGGTTGGCCGAGTGGGTAGAGCGTCCGCTCGATATTCTTTTGGGGGTTGGTTCGATTCCGGGGCAGCGCGAGTGGCTATGATAAGGCTTTGGTGACCAAGGTAAACTCTTGTGGAACAAAAAAATTATTTTGCAATTTTTACGCCTTCTAGAGATTGTAAAACACATAATAATAAAAGGATTTCCATGTAAATTCCGGCGATTTTCTTCTGGAAGATTCCAGAACGTTCCCAATCATACTCCAATAAGGATCAAACTGGAGCACATCTTGATCATATCGGCGGTTTTGACAAACGTCCACTAGAGTGTTCGGAAAACATACAGTCCATGACTAGATTATTGGAGTATGACTGGCACCCTTCTGGAATCTTATAGAAAAGTGGCAAAATTTAGATGGAAATCCTTTATTTTTATGTGTTTTACAATCTCTAGAAGGCGTGAAAAATTGCAAAATAATTTTTTTGGTCCACAAGAGTTTACCTTGGTCACCAAAGGCTTATCATAGCTACTCGCGCTGCCCCGGAATCGAACCAACCCCCAAAAGAATATCGAGCGGACGCTCTATTCACTCGGCCAACCGAACCACTGGAAGCACGTCTTCTTTTCCGAGGGAAGAGAAAGAGGAAATTTTTTCGGAACTTTCGGTCGATTTTTCTCGTCGGCCGTGCTTATTTTGCAGCTGGAAAATGCCTTTTTCTACCAAAGTCGACCTGCTCTATCCACCTGTACTAGTCATTTTCCCAAACGTTGGGGGAAGTTCAGACCATTCCCTTGTAAGCCCATATCCGCTTAGTTAACATGTTTTTTTGGATGTCAAACAGAGGGGCCTCAATTTCCGACCGGCTTCGGCGAGAAAAAGGACAGTGTGAGGTTGATAAATTGCTCGGTGTAGCAAAATCTGTCATGCCAAAAGCCACCAAACAATTCAACGGAATAGTCCGGAATGGATTCATTTTTTCTAACGGTAAGATATGAGCAAGACTCCTATCAATCACCTTGCTGAAACGACCATGCGACTGTTTTACCAATTCTGGCATGAAAAGGCCAGTCTGTTGGAAAACGGCGCAGTCGTCGCAGCAAATCTTCAGCAGCCGCTGGAAATTTAGACATTGCAAAGCAAGGCGATTCCAGGGCGCGACGACCCGCCGCACGGCAACCCAAGGAGTCTCCCGCCTCGTTTCGGCACTTCGCCCACCTAGTATCGGTTGAATTCAAACGAAATGTCAAAAATGAATTTTTCGTGTGGTTTTCCGACCGAAAAATATTTTTCTCGGAATTATTTTATTTCTTTTGTCAATTTTGACATTTCGTTTGGACGAAATTCAAAAGTGGGCGGGAGACATTTTTGTTCTATTTTGGGTTGCCGTGCGCCGTTACTTTCCCGACTATCAGGCGGAACGACCGAGATTAGAGGATTTTCCCTTTAACAATCTGCAGGTATTCAAATTTGATTGTTCTTTCCTACGTGGGGCTCCCCTATAAAAGGCCTCCTTTCCACTGAAAAAATCACTACTCTTGAGCCCTCGTCTTGTCTGGTCATTACTGGGTTGTCGGCCCTTTCGGCACCGACAGCCTGGTAGAGCGCTGAGACTGCCAAATTTGTGACCAAAAAGTTTTTTTTTCTTCCTTCAACGACTCAAAAAATTTTGCTGCACCGACTCGCCGTTAATTTGCGGAACACTGATACCTCGGATGCCACTGCAGAGGACGGTTTCAAACCTTGTGTAATTGGTACTATAGTCCATACGGAAAGTAAGGGCTACGGAGAGTCTGAAATCAGCGACACGTACTGTGATGAAGCAAAAGTTTACTTTGCACTGTGCAATTTCATCATTTTTTCACCGTACAGTAGGCCGCTCTTGCCTGTCGTTTGCACCCTGACTTTTTCGCATAGTGCGTCAAGAATCAGTCCAGCGACTTTCCGGAAGGACTAGTATATGGATTCTCTCAAAAAAATTTTTTTGGAATTATTTCTGAGATCTTTGCCGTCTAAATACGTACATGGACTTGAACTCAAGTCCGATTTCCTAAACTCTCCTTGAACTTCTGATATTCCATTATCTCCGCGGCGAACAATCTGTACGTTGAGTCGGCAGACTCGACTTCCTCAACGGGGACTCTCATTCTAAGATGAAGCGGATAGAGGCCGCTGATTTTGGAGATTAGTTCTCAAGAGCTGATTTTGGGATTGTCATATGAAAAATGAAGTACCAAGATAATGATTTTAAAAAAAAATCAGGGGCCTGTCCCACTAACAAAGCGTAGCGCGAATCACGAATTGGAAGCGCGAAAAATCATGCAAAAGCGAGAGAGGCGAGAGAAAAAGCGGGCTCTCTCGGAAATCCGCGCTACGGTTTTTTTGTGCTAAATACCGAAAATTTTTTACTTTTTTTGCCGTAACTCCTTTCAATGATGTCCGATTTACATGATTTTAAAAGCCGTGAACAGAGGAGACCCACAGCTTCCAGAAAATGTAAATTTTGTTTGCTTTAACGCAGATTAAGGCTTCCCGCCTGGACGAATTACAATTTCCTCAACAAGAATCACGATTCCAAAATGTCGTATTTTCAAGTAAAATTTATCCTTAATCTACTCATCATAACCCCCAACGTTCATATTGTCATTTATCAGCCCAAACTGCCCCTCCCAGGGCCAAACTGCCCCTTCCAAGCCCAATTTTGACCTCCTCTTGCCATAATTTGTTTGGATCGCAAAAAAATTTAAGTTTGATTTTTTTTTAAAAAGTACTCTATTCGTCTCCCAGAGGGACTGGGGCGGTTTTATCAGCCCAAATTAGCCCTTCCAAGCCCAATTTTGATCTCCCCTTGCCATAATTTGTTTGATTGCACACGGAGACACTCCTGGAACGTCCCATTGAATAATTAATCGCGCTTGTCGTTGTTATTTGAAAACGTTTGTTGAAGAGGAGGTCAAAATTGGGCTTGGCAGGGCTAATTTGGGCTGATAAAACCGCCCCAGTACCTCTAGGAGACGAATGGAATAATTTTTTTAAAAAAAAAATTTAAATGTAAATGTTTTTGTGATTCAAATAAATTATGACAAGGGGAGATCCAAATTGGGCTTGGCAGGGCTAATTTGGGCTGATAAAACCGACCCAGTCCCTCTGAATGACGAATAGAGTACTTTTAAAAAAAAAAATCAAACTTAAATTTTTTTGCGATCCAAACAAATTATGGCAAGAGGAGGTCAAAATTGGGCTTGGAAGGGGCAGTTTGGGCTTGGGAGGGGCAGTTTGGGCTGATAAATGACAATATGAACGTTGGGGGTTATGATGAGTAGATTAAGGATAAATTTTACTTGAAAATACGACATTTTGGAATCGTGATTCTTGAGGAGGAAAATGTAATTCGTCTTGGCGGGGAGCCTTAATCCGCGTTAAAGCAAACAAAATTTACATTTTCTGTAAGCTGTGTGTCTTCTCTATTGATGGTTTTTGAAATCATGTAAATCGGACGTCATTGAAAGGAGTTACAGCCAAAAAAGTAACCACATTTCGGTATTTAGCACAAAAAAACCGTAGCGCGGATTTCCGAGAGAGCCCGCTTTTCTCTCACCTCTCTCGCTTTTGCATGATTTTTCGCGCTTCCAATTCGTGATTCGCGCTACGCTTTGTTAGTGGGACAGGCCCCAGATTTTTTCCACACAAAATTGGTCGAAAAAGAAGTGTCTCCGACTCCTCTCCGCGTTTCGCGTTATCTGTAGGGCGCTAGGATCGTTGGCGGGCCCACACTTGCAGGCAACGACATTGCGGGCAGCTAGAAGAACCACGGAGATTCTGTGGGCATGTTCGGAAGTCAGCCGACACTTGCTTACAACAGAAAGTTCAAGCGAGAGATATCACAGTTAGATGTTGCGAATTAAATTCGTTGGTGTATAAGTGGCTTGCATATTTACCGTAAAGGTAACCAGGCATTTTTAAAGGCTCAAAAACAATTTTTTGAAAACAAACTCCCATAACTTTGAAAGCGGCGGATGAATTCAATGGATTCGTCTACTTATTAGGGTGTCCTATTAGTCTTGTCTTTTTTGGGGCATCGATTTGTGCAAATTCCTGTATGCTTTGAGGCGCATTACGAGATATCTTGAACATACGGTTTAGAAGCTCAGAAATTACGGTTTTAGACAATGCACAGCAAGAGTGCAAAAAATGCACCTGCTACCCGCCCTACTCCAATATTGTATTTACATGACATTAAAATATTTTTTGCTCGCCCTTGCAAAGCACGAGCTAAAATTTTGAGGAATTGATATATGGCCTACGCCTGACGTGTGTGCAAATTTTAAAGAGACTCTGAGCGCCGCACTTGGGTACCTCTCTTGTTTAATAAAGTTTAGATTTATACTGTCGGTTGTATGTAAAGCCCTTGTTATGGTGTAAAAATTAAATATAATATATTATTATTATTATATTATTTTCGAATTATTTCCCGATGATATGCAAATTCACATTTCAAAATTTGCATAAAAGTTTTATCGAAGCTCTTCATTTCAAACAAATCCCAAAAACTTCTTATAATTATTTGTTTATTAGACCATGTATATCAAGTAATGAGTACAAAATAACCGTTTTTCCTAGAGAACAATATCGTAAAACAACGTGTTTCGTACATATAAATGGCGCAGATTGTATGTACATTTGCTAGGAGCGACTAATACTGGCAAAAAATAAGAATCTTCGAATATTCAAATTTAAAATTTGAATATTCAAGAAGAAAAATAAAAATGTTCAAGACTCTTTGGGAGGGGAAAAACAATTTTGAGTTATGGCAAAACAAATAAATATCCGAAACGCGGACAAAATATTAAAATTTTTCAATCAAATATTACGAGCTATATGCAGATTTTGGTAACGTCGCTACGCCTCTACACACTGACAACATCAATGTTCTGGTTGCTGTCGTAGTTGATCTCCATTTTGATGTCCTCCGAGTGGGTTTGCCGCTCATCCACCGGGAACTTGGGCAATTTCGCCGGAGGCGCCGAACTCGAGCGCGCCGCAATGTCGGGCTGCGCGTACGGCCCGTAGCTGCTGCGGTACTGGTCGGCGAGCATTTTGGAGTGGATCAGGTTGGCCAGAATCGATCGGTAGCCGTTGTTCTGCAGGCAGACCACAAGTTCTTCAAGGCGGAAGGTGACGGTCTGAAAGAAAATGAAAATTAGCATAAAATTTGATAAAATCGTTGGTTTTTTTAAAATTTTTTAAATAAATTATAAAGACTAGAGTGTCATTTATAGTCTGAGAGGGCAATCTCATCAAAAGAATATGCTTAGAATCATTTATGACCTTATTTTAACCATCAACTTCATTTTTTTCACCTCTCACAAAAATCTTAAATTTTGAGAAATTTCGGGAATTTTTTGTAATGTTTAAGAATTATATATCATCCTCAAAGGACATATTACCTGCTGACTTCACTATTTCCCTCTGCCCCTCTAATGATCCCGTTTTATCATCAAAACAAAGTGGCTCTCTTCCCCCAAAAACGTTTCCAAACCCCGACGCAATTACCGTATCCCTCACCGCAATATGGCCTAATTATCGAACACTCGAGTTACTCATGGCCATGTAGGGCATCATAAAAGACATTTCTGGCCTACATTTTCCTCATCAAAGGCGTCACAAGGCCATCAAATCCGCTTCCTACCGTAAAAGCGATGACAATTTTTGAGTGGTTCGTCCCCGGGGAAAATATGTCGGGAATTAGCCGGGCCTATGTTACGCTCCCATCCCACACTATAGTATGTGTTACGGTGTCAATTTTCGAAGCAGTTGGGGGTGTAATTATGTGATTTGTGAGTTGTGATTATATTGTTCATCTGATAGCTAGTGTTTGGGAAAAAACGTCAAATTTGTTATAAAGTTGTAGGGAAATTTCTAAACTTATAGTCTTAAAATAACCTATGAGGTATGTTGCATAACATAAATAGTGTTTTAGCCAGAAAATTTTTTTGAAATTTGCATAAAAATCAAGTTTTTTTTAAGTCATCAAAATTTTTCGTCTTTGACAAGAATGATTATACCGCCAAAAATACCGATTTCAGACTACAAATTAGTGAACTGTTTGTTCGAGCAAACAGTAGAATATTGAAAAATCGGACCATTGTGACCGAAATAGGTCATATTCGTATGAAGTCGGGCAAGAAATTAGTCATCGTTTACCCACCTGCAACCCAAACTACACGCAATACAGTGGCTGCTCTCAAACTATAAGGCTCTACAGACTATGAAATTACATTTTTGAAAAATTAGAATGCCATATTTTTGGAAAATTTGAATAATTTATGAAAATTTCAAAATTTCAGAAAAGGTCAAAATTTGAGAGAAAAAATCGATATTTTCAAGATGCTTACTATTAGGAAATCATCTTTACCTAATTATGAAGGTATTTTTGATACAAAAATTTTTCAAAAATCAGGGGCCTGTTTCACGAACGCAAAAACTCATATTTCTAAAGAAAATAGAAATATGAGTGAGCGAGGGAACAAAGGAAATGCATGCGAAACGGGAGAGACGGCAGAAAAATGAGGATTTCGCCACTTCTCAATCGGAGTGACTTTTTACGTCCAAAATCAGGGTTGGCGGCAGTGTTTCGGCCATAACTTTTCCCTCCATGGGCGTAGAATCACCCTTCAAAATTTCGAATAATGCTAACTGTTTGGACTGTCATGTGTGCAAGTTTCGTTGCACTGTTGCAAAAACCCGCTCGAAAATAGCTGTAGTATTGCGCATATTTCTATTTTCTACAAAATTTGTGCAATTCTAGATTAATTTCCTCATAACTTGGTCCAAAATTGTCGGATCGACACCGTTTAAAAAAAATCATATAGACCTGAGTCCGCGGTTTACAGTAATGTAAGTTTTTAGGATGTTTGGCGATCTGCGGAACGAACAAATTTATAGTAGTGCGGCAGTTTGCAACATTTTTTCATTTTTTTCAGAATAAAAATAGGTTTTTGTTCCAAATAATAAAATATTAGTATAAAATTTTATATAATTGTAAAAGAAATTGTCTTGGCTACCTCATTTTTTTTAGAGGGGCGTCTATATCTCACCAACTGATAAAGTTATGGGTGATTTAGTCCAGCCGAATCCCATTTTTTACCGTAAAATTTCTCTCTTGTTTTGATTTGAGGGCTCTTTCGAAAGATTTTTTGTGATGAAAATCGAGGGATTGTCAAAGTAAATCAGTTATTACTCAGCCAAAAAATGACTTACAGTTGGCCCTCTAAAAATGTTTTGTAGAGAATTAAATTGTCTATCGACTGACATAAATTAGAATTTTTTACTGTTTCAATTAACGCGAAAAAAGGCCTTTCAGCGTCATAAAGTAGAAGAATTCAACACTACAACGCACATCAACCACAAACAGAATGCCAAGATTTTTGGCATTCGGTTTTTTAAGGGTCTCTAATGTTTTAGCTTACTGTGCAGTGGGTAATGAACAAAATAACATGAACCTGCGATTAAAACATTGCCAAGGACCCATATTTTTTAAATTAATAGATTTTGGCCTTCTTCGGCCACCAGGTTAGCGACAAACGGCCGGAGAAAATCGAATTTTTGCAAACTTTGCGGCCGAATAACTTGTCTAAAACGATTGAAACACGGAAAGTGATTGCAACGATCTTCAGAATATTGCATTCTAAGGTAGTATGCGAAGTTTGAAGCAAATCGGACAGATAATAAAAAAGTAGATGCGATTTTAAGCTTTTTTACCTTATGGATTATATTACTTTAGGCAGCTTTTAATGTCCGACAGCGTTAAATAGTCTAATTAATTAACTATATTATCTCATAACATCCTGTTAAGGGAGATTAACTGCAAAAATTTTAACTCTTAGGTCGAAAAAAAGTTTTACCTTATAGTAGCATACCTGATCTTATACCAAAAATAATGAAAGTTTATGACTGAAGTCAAAGTTTTAAAACTATCTATGTAAATTGAGATGGCTTTCTAAGGCTATACTGAGCTTTTGGAGTTGGTTTCAACTTCGCTGCGCCAATTTCAAAAATGGCCAATATCACCTAAAACAAGGTTCTTAGAACAGCTTCTAAACTGGTGCGGATGCCACTAATTATGCTCTTATTGTCTTTTTAGATCATAGTGGACCTAGCTGAGTCAAAATTTACAGATTTTTAAAATATTATTTTAGTCACCTAAATATCACTTTTTTTGGAATTTTGAGTGAGTAAGCTAGTATATGACACAGGGTTGCTTATTGTTCTCTAAAAATACTCTAATTATGCTCATAGAAAAAAGAATTTAGGCAATTGCTTCGTTACGAAACGATTTAGTAGCAAAAGATGTCTAAAATAAGGTTTTCAAATCTACTACTACTACTATTTTTTGGTCAGTCCGACTCGTTTCCAATTTTTAATTTGAGCTACCCTTGGGCACCCTAACAAAGTTATGCAAACAGTTTTCCCGATTTGAAACTTTTTTTTTTGTGGTTGATGTGCAACGCCTATGGTAACTTTGTCATTGGCGGTAGAGCAAAAATTTTTATAGATCTATATAGCCCGCAGTCTTAGCATTATTTGAATTTTTGGAGGGTGCTTGTAGGCCCAAGTAGAGGAAAGTTATGGCCCAAATACTACCGCCAACCCGTAATTTTGGGCGTAAAAAGTCACTCCGATTGAGAATTGGCGCAATCCTCATTTTCCTGCCGTCTCTCCCGTTTCGTATGCATTTTCTCTGTTCCCTCGCTCACTCATATTTCTATTTTTTTTATTTTGCGTTCGTGAAACAGGCCCCAGCATAATTTTCATAAATTGTATCAATTTATCCATAGCTTTCAAAAAATCTCAGATTTCCCTCATTTTTTCGAATTTTTTCGTATGTTACAGTATGCCAATTCTACTCACCTCAATCTCATTGATCAACAAGATCAGATTGCCCATCCTCACCGCTACATCATCAAAATTGGCCTCATAATGGCTTCGCAATCCCTCGAAAACATTGTTCAAGTGCGGGTTGAGTTGCGAGTTCTCCGGGAACGCTCGGATCGCCATCTTCACCGCCATAATGTGCAGCATGACCGACAATTCGGTGTCGTCCAGTCTGGCCATGTGCAATTTCTTGGCGGCCGCCAATTTATAGTGGTAATATTCCATACAGTACTCGGCGGGTTTCGTCCAATCAACCGAGTCGGCGGGGATCCCAATTACTGACGCAAACGACTTCACATAGGCGTGAACGGTCGCTTCATTGACGGGATGGTGGCTTTCGTCGACAAAGTAGACCTCGTTGATGTTGTGGCCGCCGTTGCGGAGGGTTACGGTAATGGAGGTGAAGCACACCCATTGGTAGAAGAGTGAGACGGCGAGGCGGGTCTGGAATGGATGGATTTAATAAAGAAGAGGTACGAAAAGCGTATTTTAACATCTACAGTGATCTAGAGGCTCTTTTACTGTGATAAAAACACTGTTTTCACCAAAAATCATCAAATTTTTGCTGATTTTTGACGATTTTTTGTTAAATCTTCAAAGTTCTTATTCTCAAAGGATCCAAAAATTCATAATTTATACAATGAGTTCGTATTTTACCTCAATCTTGAAGATACACGCAATTTTAGAGGTTGAAATTAACTTTTTTCCCAAAAAATCGCCATATATTTAGATTCTTGTCGTTTTATACATAAAAATTAAATTTTCAAGACTTAGAACTACACATCAAGTATTGTAAAGCCTTCTTTACAATAGAAAAAATGCTAATAGACAATATATGTAGAGAAAAAACCTCAAATACGACCATCTTTGGGCTTATTTTTTCATTTATCATCATTTTCATGAGAAATTAGCGATATCTTGACGAAAAGGCCTAAAATACGACGCTTCAGCCACTTTTCAACAACTTTTTTTTGTAAAATACGAAGCAAAAACCCTTAGGATTCATTAAAAACCCACCAAAGCCAGGTTATCCAGTCCAAAGCGGCGGAATCCGGCCATCTTCAGGTAGTTCAACACCACCATGAACTCCGACTGCGACGCTTTCACGGTGTGTTCGGCGTCGTAGAAGCGGGTCCCGAACGCAATGTCGTTCTGTCGTCCGTCGTTGGTCTTGATGTTGGCGCTGAATCGCTCCACAAAAGTGGCGTTCCGGCAGTGGATCAGGGTCTGGAGCAGGTTGCGCTCGCGAATCTCTTCCACGTCATCTTGATTGGAGGGACGCGAGAAAACGGCTGAAAATTTGGGAGGATTAGATGGAGTAGAGTATTTGACGTTGATTAAGATATATTTTAGGTATAGTAGTTTTGATTTTTAGCGAGAATTTTGAGATTTTGGACATCAGTTATATTGTAGTAGGCAAATCTTTGATTTTTGTGTTGAAAAAAAGGTGAGACGGCCCATGAAACTGTTTTTAAAATACGGCATTATCCATGAGGATCTATCTAATCTACAAATCGATTGGCTTATAACATGATTTTTAAGATTTTTTGAAGTATTTTATATTACAGTAGGCTAAACTGCAAATTTTGATGATTTTTGGCAAAAATAAGCTGAAATAAGGCTAATGTCCGTTTTAAAAATATAAATCAAAGCATGCTGCGTCGCTGACATTACAAGTTCACTCGAATTTTCGATGATTTTTACGACTTTCCGGGGGTTTCAGCCGGAGAATCCCGCCAAACCGTTGGAAAAATTGATTCCTTCAAAATCCCCCCAAATTAATCGCGGATTTCCGCGCTAATCCCGTTGTTGATGAGGAGCTGAGCATGCACTATTAACTTGAAGCACTTCTTTCATCATTATTATATGATAAAATTCAAAAAAAAAAAAATTTTTATTTTGAAATTTTTTCAATTTTTTGAACTTATTATTCCCACTGTTTACCATGCTATTTACAGTCCAAAATGTTTTCCAAATTTGTGAGCAATCTTCCATTTTCACTTCCTGAATTCGTCAATACCTACTGTAAGTATGCAAAAAACGCGGGGACACTTCGGAACAACAGAGACCCCTTTGCTCGTTTGCACTGAACTTCCGGTCACAAAAACTCCTTTTTTCCGCTTGCAAACAACCGCTGAACAAAGTTTTTTCGAGCAAAAATTTGGCTATCGAGAGAGTTTTTGTGCAAAAACTAGAGTGTTCTTTGCTGCGGAACAAAAAAAGTTTGAGGAATTTGGGAGGAATGTCAAGTGCAATATAAGGTATTGTTCAAATTTTTTTTGTTTGGAAATGTGATAAATATATTTTTTTTTTTGAGAAATAAATTTTTGAAATATTTTTTTTAAAATTTTTAAAAAGTTTTAAAAATTTCAAAAAGTGTTTTTTTTTGGCTAAAATTTTTTTTTTTATTTTTAAAATTAAAAAATCTTTAAGTAAAATTTTTAAAAAAATAAAAAAAAAATCTAAAAATCCCAAAAAAAAATTTTAAAAAATTTAAAATTTTTTTGTTCGGAAATTCGCTAAAAATACAATTTTTTGAGAAATAAATTTTTAAAATATTTTTTTAATTTTTTTAAAAATCTCAAAAAAATATTTTTTCATTTTTAAAATTAAAAAATCTTTAAGCAAAATTTTAAAAAAATCAAAAAAAAATCAAAAAATCCCAAAATTTTTTTTTTATTTTTTTCATTTTTTTTTGTACATTATTTTAGCCTTGTGGACTCAAAAACCTGTTCAAACTCCGAAATCGACCTATTCTTTCAGATTTTAGCTTCAAATCCTGTTCAAATATTTATAAACTTTCTTTTTCAAAAAAATTGAACCATTTTTTATAATTGAAAGTTCATTAAGTTCATCAATTTTTCCTTTAAAGCCTTGTGAAATAAATAACCAATGCATTTACAATAATTTTACAATGTTTTGTCATCATAATTTTTAAAAAAAGTCAATTTTTTTTTAATTTTTTATTTTTTCTTTATCTTTTATACACTAATAAAGCCATGTAAAACTTAATGCTCGAGATGTAGTCTAAAAAGCGGGCGAAAAACTCTCAAGAATGTTTGCATTTCTTTTTCGAAGCGAAACGATAGTCTTATGGCCCAAACTAGAACGAATTTGCGTCCGCGGTTTATAGTTTGGGAGGGGAAATTTAGGTCACGGCGTTGTTTATCGACCATGAACTATTCGTTACGCAGCTGAGAGCGTTGGCTTGGAAATTATGGGAAAAAAGTGGGGAAAAAATGCCTTGCAAGAGTTGAGAAATGTAGTGCAAGTTGAACTGTGGTTTTCAGAAAAAGTAAAAATAATGATGACAAAGTTGATAGTATAAATTTATAAGCATGACATGTAGTTGCTTTTAGATCAAAAAAAATTTTTTTTTTCGTTTTTTAAAATACGAAAATTTTACAAATTTGAAAGCGATTTTGACTACATTTTTTGTCACTGCCAGCTTTCAAAATGACAAAAATAGAATTTAAAATAACAACCAGAGTATCTAGGATACCATAAACACAAAAACAAGATTTTTGCCCGAGGCTAAAATACAAAAAAGTTCAAAAAATTTCAAGTCCTCCCAAACTTCGGAAAGAATTTTTAATTACTTTTTAAGGCAAAATCAGTAGTCCCAGTAACAAAAAATTGAATTTATCGCAAGCATAGGGGTCCCTACTCTTAAATAAACTTACTACAACTTTTATACCCTCAGGCCAAAGTACCGTTTCTTTCAACTCACGCCAAAGGTCCAAAAATCTCTAATTCATGCAAAAAATCCCTTCAAAATTAACGTGTTTCACCTGGAAGTGTGCTTCCTACATTCTACGGTAAACATTGCGGGTTTCTTTTACTAATCCTGGTCGTTGAGCTCGGTGTTGTGCTAAGCCGAGCCCTCGCGATTCTATGGCTTTTTCCAAGAACTTCTAAGGAGATGTGGGGACATGTGACATTGAGGAAGCCCTACAGAGCGGTGTGAAACTCTGTGAAAGGAGCTATGATGCTGTAGGGGCCGGATGGACCGAAGGATTACGGTAGTTTTGAGGAATCGGGGAGAAATGTGATGATTTTGAGGAAAAGTGAGATTTTGGCCGGAAAAAAAGTAAAAATGAGAGAAATAGTGTGTAGAATGAGGAGAGACGGTTAAAAAATCTTTTAAAGCGATTTTTGAAGCAAATTTTTTTTGAAAATTGAATTTTTCAAGAAAAAAAAATTTTTGAAATTTCAAGTTTTTTTACCAAAAAATTTAATTTTTTCCACCAAAAAAGTCAACTCACAATTAATGCACATTCCATTCCAAATGCATCGCTGAAATCTGCAGAACTTGCACATGTGTCGCGGCTCGCCCGACACCACATCGCATCGCTTCCCCCGCACGCACAAGTACGTCTTCCGCAACGCCACCGTACGCCGGAAGAAGGCGGCGCACGCGTTGCAGCACAGCACGCCAAAGTGCTTGTTCCACGCGCCGTCGCCGCAGATCGGGCAGGCGCTCTGGAAGCCGTCCGAGTTGGCGCCTGGCGACGAGACGGTCGTCGAACCGACGCTCTCCACCGAACTTGTTGAAGGTGTCATCGAGTCGAGGAGGAGGTGATCAGGCTCGAGCAGGTTCAAGGCACGACGTTTCAGGGGTCGGTTGGACATCATCATCTGGAAAACTGATTTTTAGAAATTTTTTTTTTTTTAAATTTTTTCGGGAAAATGCCGGAGGGAAAATTGAAAAAATCGCGAAAAATTGGGAAAAATACAAAAAAAATATTTTTTTTCGATTTTTTGGTAAAATGCCAAAAAAAAATCGGAAAAATCGCGAAAAATGTAAAAAAAAATAAAAAACTGAAAAAAAAAATTTACTTTAAATTTTTTAATTAAAAAAAATCGAAAATAATACTGCAAAAAATCGTAAAAATCGAAAAAATACTGCAAAAAATCTTTAAAATCTTATCATTTACAATTTTTTATCAAATTTTTTAAAAAATGCCCGAGGCAAAATTTTAAAAAATCGAAAAAATAAAAATCAGAAAACTCGAAATCTCAAAAAAAAAAACAGCAGCTAAAAAGTCGCGTCTATGCAGAAAAAACCAGCAGTTAGCCTCTTCTCCTCCTTCCCCTGCCGCTTTTCCCTGATCTCGACGGCTGATCTCCGACAAAAAATAGTTGGATGCGGACAGTAATCTAACCCATTTTGTTATGCACTAAAAGTTCAAAAACATATTTTTTGATGCCTCAAATTCTTTGTCAACCCAATTTTAGCGACAAGCAAGCTCGAAAGTTCAAGAAAATTCGAGAATTGCAAAAATATTTGCTCATGGATAATATAAAAATAAGTTTTTTATCAAAAAAAGCTCACAAAACGCCCGTACGCGTGCCTCCATTCTGCGAAAACAAATAATCCCCGGCCCCAAAACCCGCAGGCGTTTTTCGGAATACCACAGGGCATAAGCCAAACGTTGTCGTTTGTAATTCCTGAAAAGCGTAAAAATGGAATTGAGTTTGAGCCGAATGTAGTGTGTGGAGTGTATGTAACAGGTTGTGAAAGAGTTCAGGTGCCGAAAAGGTTCGAGATTTTAGCTGCAAAAAGCGTAGAGAGAGGTTTTTGAAAGCCCCAAATTTTCGCACGGTGCAGAGAATAGAGAGCTCGAGTTTGGAGCGCACAGTGCAAAAAAGTCCAAAAAAATTTTGAAATTCAGTAACGTGTAATGTCTATGAGCAGTTTGTGACGTTGAAAATTTTTCTGACCTCTTGAATTTTACTCTACAAAGCTTTAAAACCGAAATTTTTGTCTGCACGGTGCAAAAAACTAAAATGAAAAAACTGCACCGCACAGTGCAAAAATTGAACTACAAAGTTCTAAAATAAATCAATTGTATGTCACGTGTCATTTAAATTAAAAATCATGCTCGAGGTAATCCATTTTACCATGCTTTTAAATCGAATTTCATCCGCACAGTGCGAAAAATCCAAACAAAAAATTTCGCACTGTGCGCGAAGAGAAAAATTTTTTGCACAGTGCAAGTTAAAAATTGCACCGTGCAAATGCGACAAAACTCTTTTGCACTGTGCAAAATAAAATTTGCACCGTGCAAACGCGACAAATCTCTTTTGCACAGTGCAAATAGGGCAAAATCGTAAATCTATGCAATAACCCGCTAAAAAATCGTGCTTTCATTAAAAATACCACCAATACACGACCATCAAAATTTCCGATAATTCCTTTCCCATAAAGTACACGGCTAGCACATGCAATGTTACATGAGATTAGGCAGTTCGCGGGAGTTTCCAAGGTGTAGACAAACGGAAAAAAACCAAGTACTGGGGCGCAAAGAACGAGCACTGTGTTCGAAGGGGTGTCGGGTGTAATTCGGGGAATTTGGGCGACAAAGGTAACATCAATACGCCGTTAATTGGTGGCGACAAAATTTTGTGTAACAAAGTTGATATCTACGCAATTGTCGCGGGGTGAATTGGCCCTATGGGAGTTGGAAAATATTTGCGATGAAAAACAGTGGCAAGAGGAGGGTTTTTAAACCGTATTGCGCAAGAATTTTTAGAAAAATAAGAGAAAACGTGATTGCACGGTGCGAAAAATTTTAAACCGAGATTTTAATGGTAGTTGGCAAAAAAATCAAGTTGAAATTGATATATACAAAGAGAATATGATCTAGAAAACAAGTGTATTATCGAAAAAATTTTTTATGTCTTAACATCACCGAGAAAATTCAAAATTTTGGCCGCTTGCACAGTGCAAAAATGAGTCATTATTATATAGGTGACTTAGCGATCTACAACAAAAATTCAACGTCTTAAAACACAAGCTACTCGTATACTTCGACTCTAGAACATGTACATCAAAAGAAACAAGTGAAATATCACGAAAATTGTAGGAAAACTCCAAAAAATTGAAAAATTAGGGATCTTTGACCATAAAACAAGGCGAAAATGGAAAATATGGACCTCCAACTCATTAGAATTAATTGTTGTTGACTTAGCAGCTTACAGATAATCTTAAAGTTGTAAATAGCCAAACAAAATTAAGGGAAAACAACCGTAACCCCATCAAAAACAAAATTCCCATCCACAACAATGGGTTGATGTCCTCGCTGACTCCCAACTCGCTTTAAAGCATTGTAAACGCAACTGTATTCAGGCTAATTGGCCCGCGAACCAACGAGTCCACCATCGTAGCGGATCGAAGATCATCAGCGACCGTAACTGGGCGCGGTGAAGGAAGGACGGGGAGAGAATCATCGCCTTCGCGATTACGATCGTCAACCTTTAAAGTGCGGATTGCGGAGTGGAGAGAAGCGAAGAGACCGAGCGGATCCAAGCGAGGAATCACACACACCGAAAATCGAGTGGAAGGAAACAAACTGAGAAACAGAATGTGTAGGAAACAAACATCATACACACACGCCGACACCGCCCCTCCGGCGACGCGCCGAGCAAACAGAACGAGTACGCGCTCTCTGACTCTTCCCCTCGCTCTCTTCCTCTCTGCTGTGTCGTGTGTGTGTGACTGCCGGGGTTGTGACTCGTTCGGGCGACGGCTAAGCGGCTTCGTTCTCGAAGCGATCGCGGGGTTCAAGCAATGCGGGCAATCGGAGAGGAGCACGACAAGTTCAACCTCGAGGCGAAGAGATCACAAAATGCGAAATGTTTGGACTGTGAGAGGGAAAAGAAGTGGGGGATATGAGGATATATATGCAATGTATATGGGGCGTAAAGGACTATCAGTTTGTCGGGAAAATAATGAAGATTCTGTCGTATCAAAAATCAGATCGAAAAATGAATTGTATCGCGACAAAATCAAATTTCTTTTCAGTTCAACGACATGATAGGTCCAGAGATATTATGCTCATTATTTTCCCGACAGACTGATATTAGTATATAAGAGCGAAGGAATAAGAATTTTTTCTCGAGCTCGATAATGTTTGCTGGATTCGCTACCAATTTCAAAAAGTAGCGGAAACCTCAATTTGCAACCTCCAAAAAAGACGTCGGAAGCAAATCGGCCATTTTGCGACGGCGCAAAATTGGGAGGTAGCAAATCGGCCCTTTTGCGACGGCGCAAAATTGGCAGGTAGCAAATCCATGGATTTGCGACGTCCCAAAACAAGCCCCGCCCCCCTCAATTTTTCAGCCATCACGTTTTGGCTTTTTTGACGGAAAAACACCGTTTAGGGTGAAAAACTTAGCTGATAAATCGTACATTTACGAAATTATGAATAATAAAAACGTCCCTCTTCATCGTTATATTATTTATTAATAAAAGACGTACGTTTTCGTGTAAAATATGCGGGTTTTCCACAATATTGTCTAAATACGGCCGGATAGTCGATGGATGGGGTTGAAGAACATGGCCGCTTACAGATCTTCCTGGAAATCGAAATCAATATAAATTTCCTTCTGATTAGAAAAAAAGCCTTCTGTTACCTCATAGTTCATGTGTCTAATCCAAGCATCGAAACGGACATAATGTTGAGCAAAAATGCGGCCGACTGGAGTGAAACCGAGTTCCAGGCAACAATTTATTACCTAAAAACAGAATAATAATACTTAAATCAAATCTTACCTCCTTTAACAACTACCACACGGCTTTCCCTTGTCCGATTTCGTTGTTTCTGCCTCCTGAAAACGGTTTGTAAGACTCTTGCCATGAATAATATTAAAAAAAAAATTGGAAATCTCGTCTAAAGTCAAAAAATAATAACAAAACAGCTTACCATGGCTAAAAAACGGTTGATTTGATTGATAACGCCGAGGACATCCTTGTTATTGGACCTAAAATCCGTTCTCGGACTGCGTGGCATTTCGTTTTCACGGGCCGCGAAAACATTCGCAACTTCATAAATTCTTTTTTTCCTTTTTCTTATGTTTCCTTTTGTTGAAATTGGCCAAATAGATGCAGAGAAGCTGAATTAGAAGACAAACCGGCTCAAGGTGATCGCCATAAACATCGGGGACGAAATTGGCGGGCAAAAAAGGCTTTTTGACTCCATGGTAAGTTGTTTTTTTTATTATTTTTTGATTTTAGACGAGATTTCCAATTTTTTTCTAGGCAAGAGCCTTATAAATCGTACACAGGCGGCAGAAATAATGAAATCGAACAAGGGAATGGCCAAGTGGTAGTTGCTAAAGGAGGTAAGATTGGATTTAAGTATTCTTATTCTGTTTTTAGGTAACAAATTATTACCTGGAATTCCGATTACACTCCCGTCGGGCATATTTTTGCTCAAAGCTGTGCCCATTTCGATGCTCGGATTAGACACATGCAATATGAGGTAAATGAAGGTGTTTTTTCTGAAAATGATAAGGAAATTTTACATTGCTTTTGATTTCCAGGAAGGTAATTTGGCGGCCATGATCCATCCCTCGACTTCGGCCATATCTGGCAAAACATGTTCTTCAGTTCCATCCATCGACTCTCCGGCAATGCTTGGACAATGTTGTAAAAAACGCATATTTTATACGAAAATGTACGTCTTTTATTAATAAATATTTTAACGAAGAAGACTTTTTCTTTCATAATTTCGTAAATGTACGATTTACAAGCAAAATTTTTCACCATAAATGGTATTTTTTTGTCAAAAAAGGCCAAAACGCGGTGGTTGGCTGCGAAACTCAGGGGGCGGAGTTTATATGTATTTGGGACGTCGCAAATCCGCGGATTTGCTACCTCCCAATTCCGCGCCGTCGCAGAAACGCCGTTTTGCTACCTCCTCTCTCGCGGAGGTAGCGAAAACGCCGATTCGCGACCGACTTTTTTCGGAGGTCGCGAAAAGAAGGATTCGCTACCGAGACCATGTCGCAAATCGATCATTTCGCTACTTTTTGAAATTGGTAGCGAATCCAGCAACCATTCTCGAGCTCGAGAAAAAATTCTTATTCCTTCGCTCTTATATCAAGAAAATGATTCGCTATTGTACCCAGACCTCTCAAAAACTAGTACCGGGCAAATCAAGGCCTACAATTACATCCCACAATCGATAGATGGTAAAGACTCGAACGATAGATCGATACGTGCCGACTTGAAGGTAAAAGAGCAAAAAAATCGAACAGATATTATCTTAATGATTTAAACTCGCGAAACTCGTTTGCCCAACGGCTCAACAGAACATTCGCAGCAATGCGTACGAGCAGCACGATCCAACGACAATGTTTGTAGGCGCAAAGAGCAATAGATAAGGACGAAAAAAGACTGGGAAGATAAGTTTGCCATCAAAATGTCGCTTGATGACTCAGATCAATACGATTTGAAACTGACTTGGCAGTGAGTGAAAATAAGTTAGGTTGGGTTAAAGTCAAAGGCAGAGAGATAGGAGCAATCCAGACGGTTTTATGACCGAAAGAACAAACGTCGATGATCAAGTCACGATGCAGCGGGAGAGTTTGTGACTTGAACAGCGGCTAATTGTGACTTCAAAGATCAACGTACTTGGTTTGGAGTTTGTTCGAGCAACAAGTTCGTGACCAAAATCAAGTCGATTGAATCCACTTCGAAGCAGAAGAGCGAATAGCGACGAGAAGGTTCAATTGGGGCGGAAAGTTTTTTTTTGTTTGAAAAAAGGGGCGGAGTCTGTTTTTTTCTCCCCATGGGGACAGAATCTTAAGTTTGAGCTAACGCGAGGGGACATTTTATACGACAAAATGTGTTTGGAGGCGAAAAATGGAATTTTTGAATTTTTTGTTACAGTAACCCAAAACAAAAAAAATAAAATTTTTTTTTCGAACTGAGAGTACAGTAAGCCTCTATAAAACCAAGTGTAACAATGAAATTAGTCGAAAATGCCCCAATTTTTCAAAAAACGAAATTTTTGAATTTTTCTTACAGTAACCCAGAACAAAACATTCAAAAAATTCTTTTTCGAAATAAGGGTATAGAAAGCCCCTACGCATCCTACTGTAACAAAACAATTGGCTGAAAGCGCCCCAAATTTTCGCAAAATCATCAATAAAACCCCCGCCTTCCCACTCCTACTCGGTCCTTTCTAGCCCCCCGAACTTTTTCCCCCCTAATCCATCGGCGACGTTGCGACACTGTTGCTTCATTGGAGGAACCCCGTGACTCTATGATCACAAGCAAGCAAGCGAGCAATGTTCCGACTTCAAAAAACGAGAGAAAAAAGCGAAGAGTGGAGCAAAGAACGGTCAGGGATTATACACTACATTCATGACATTACTGCGAACCCCGCCGATTATAGACGCCGTGGTTTGTGAAACCGGAGACTGCCATTTAGTGGCGGAAGCAAATTTCGAGCCTCGTGAGACTACAGTTTTTGTATGGGGAGTTGAAAATTGAAACTACTCGAAAGACCAAGGATAACATAAAAAAGGCGACATTTTGCTCTATACAACAGCAAATTGCGATGGAATATATAGCGCAAATCATGGAAGAGGCTTTGCTGTTGTCGTAAAAGTAATCGCCCGCCTTTTTACAGCGAAAAAACTACCGTAATCTGGCGAAAAGTCGAAAAATCGGGGAGATGCGTCGGTTTTTTGCGAAAAATCGAGGAAAAGTGGAAATGAAGTTGAAATAATTTAAAGAAATCATTGTAGGTCAAGTGAAATGATGTGAACTACAAACTCATTTCGGTTAAATTACAGTAAGCTAGGTTATAAAGTTAAAATTTTGAAAAAATGTCATTTTGAGCCTTAAAATTGTCCACAAATGATAAAAATCGCATTTTCTACAAATAAAACACGTTGATATAGGAAGTAGATAACAATGTAAACCATAAAAAACAACAACACATCATAATTTATACAGTAATTCAAGCATTAAATCGGATTACCCGCGAAAAACCCCCCTCTTCTCCGTCACGGACCGAGCTCAAAGTGGGCTCGACACTACCGTAACCCATTGTCATCGGCTCCTCAAAAGTCATCATTGATTGCACCGACGGCTCGACTTTGATGCTCCGGCTGCACCGGCGCGACCGGTCGTCCCGAAACGACAGAAACATGCGGCGAGCAGAGAGCGGCCGTCTTTTTCTCCAGCCGCCCCTATAAATGAAACCCTCGCCCCGAAAAGCTGATCCGAATGAACTCCGGCTTCTACTCTCCACCCTTTTCGTGGGCTCTCCCACTTTGTTGCGGTCCATCGCGCCGAGAGTCGGACGGGGCCCTCGCCACACGAAAAAGGGGTGGGTAACACAAATAGTACAGCAGCGTGGTCAACGTGGAATGCTTTTTCTCGCTCCCGCCGAAACGTTTGCGCCGCTGATGCGCTCGCGGCTCCGCCCCACTTGGTCGTTGAGATGTTAGAAGGGAGTGGGCAAGGAATGGAGGGTGCTCAGGGGCGCTAGAAATAACGGACTGGGAGTACCGTACGCCCGGCCCATGAATCACGGAATCATGGGGAACCCGAGGGCACAATGGGTTCAAATCGCGGGTTCATAAAAATTGAAGTGTGATCTGTTGTGCAGATTGGAAATGTATACGAATATCGGAGATCTCGGCGAGATTTGGCGAGATCTTTGGCAAGAGGATCTGATATCATGGATAATGTAAAAAATCGAGGATAACGACTGGTATGCGGCAAATTTAAGACTAAAATAGTATAAAATGATCTTCTAGAGGGATTAGATGTTATATTCTGAAAATATTCAAATTTTCGAAAATTTATGCAAATTTTCAAAATTTGCATATTTGGCTCGAAAATGGTTTTAGAATGTTTGTCAAGCCCTAGAAATGTTTTGCAACAATAAAACCCTCGTAATTCACCGTAAACTCGCTTTAAACAACAATTTTCTAACTAAATCATCAATTAATTTCTACTGTAACAAAACAAACCAACACTCGCAGACACTGCGACAAAAACTAGATCCGCAAGCGTCATTCAACCGACCGCTGATTGACTTCCATCTTTAGCGGTTGAGCTTTCCGCGAACACATTTCAGTTTGTACTCAATCTCGATCATCTTTTCGATCCCTTTCTCTTCAAAGTCTGGGATTCTCGCAACGTTTCTCCGCTTCTCAACCACTTCATTGTTCCAATTTTTAAAGAATGGAAGGCAACGGAATGGAGCGCAGTCGTCGGTTAAGTGCAAAAATCGGAAATTGATGGTGTTTGATGCGGAAAAACGACGACATTTCCATCGACCGGCGGTACCCGCGCAGACAAAAAGTCCGGCTAGTTTGTCGCGCACTAACATTCGGTCGCACCAAACGATCGCTCTTGAAGAATTGGCATCGCGCGCGACGGCAGTGCACGAAATTCAAAACGCACAGTGCAAAACGGTGCGTTTGGTCAACTGCACTGTGCAAACCACTTTTTTCGCGATTCTTCGCCTCTCTTTGCACGGTGCGCGGGGCAATTCTCGAAAATTTTTAACCATTTTTTTGCACTGTGCAATTTGTCGCGCTCGCAAAGTTCGCGGCGACGCAGCTGTCGTCGCGGCGATATCGCAGTGCAAAATGTCAAATGCACTGTGCAAAATGATGGTTTTGGGACAAATGCACTGTGCGGAATGTCCAATGCACTGTGCAATTGTCTGTCGCGCTCGCAAAGTTCGCAGCGATGCAGCGTTGCGATGTTCCGGTTGCACAGTGCAGAATGACAAATGCACTGTGCAAAATGGTGTTTTTGCACCGTTCGGTGCGTTTGGGTCAACTGCACTGTGCAAAGAAACTTTTTCGCGATTTTCGCAGCGACATTTTGCCTCCGTGCACGGTGCGCGGGCCATTTCAAACCACTGTTTGCACTGTGCAATTGTCTGTCGCGCTCGCAAAGTTCGTGGCGACGCAGATTTCATCGCAGCTAAAAAATCGTTTGCACAGTGCGGAATGGCAAATGCACCGTGCAAAATGGGTTGCTTGCACGGTGCAAAAAGCGGTCTATCGCAAAGCGATGGTAGACAATTCCAAGACCCGACGAGTCCACATTATTTTCACGACCGACTCATAGGGGGCACAATATCGCGTCGCCGATCCTGTCGCTGAATTGGAAAGCAATTTGATTTTGTCGCGACACAATTCATTTTCCCGGCGGTGCGATTTTCGATGCGACAGAGTGCTCATTATTTTCCCGACGTACTGATAGTATGTAATAATATTCATAAATTTTCAAAAAAATTATTTCATGCGGAAATTTCAAGCAATTTTTAAAAATCATTTTGAATGCCTTTGATTTGTAATGCAGCAAGTTTTGAGCTCGTCTCTCCAATTATTTTCTTTTTTAAATTTATGTGCCGTGCCTTTCCTATCCTTGCCAGTTCCGGCCTCTCTCCATATAATCAAATTACATCAATTGAAGCGGCCCAAAAGAGCGGCCCAAAGGAACTCTGTGATCCCTCGGAACGGCCGCAGAAATGTTTCTAATTGAAGGCTCACGAAAAACCACGTCGGCAGCGGCGTTTCGGTTGAGCCGAGTTCGGCGAGTGGATTAAAGATCAGAGGGGGGAAAAATTGGAAGATTTGAAGCAGCTTCCTGCCCTTAGGCAGTGAGTGAAATCACGTGAAACCTGTGCTGCAAAAAGGTTTTAGTGGCAATTTTTAAATGTTAAAACATAACACTGGTCCTTTGCAAAGTCGCTGAAGTGATTTGGCGACATGCACTGTGCAAAACAAGTCAGGGTGCGAGCGACAGCCCAAAAAAGCTTATTGCACGGTGCAAAAAGCGAGAAATTGCACAGTGCAAAGTGGACTTTGGTTTTTGCACAGTGCATGTCGCAAAAGTTATGTCGCCGCGACACAGCTCAAAATGTCTTTTGTCGCGCGATATTCCCGTTGCACAGTGCAAAATGTCAAGGTTCACTTTGCACTGTGCAATTTACAGCTTTTTGCACCGTGCAAGAGGCTTTTTTGAGCTGTCGCCCTGACTTTGTCTGCACGGTGCATGTCGCAAAAAAATCAAAGATGCACTGTGCAAAACACGTTTTTCGCGATTTTTAAAACGCGCCGAAGTCGCATTATTTTCACAAAGTGCATGGACATTTTTTCACTTTCGCACAGTGCATTCTTCTCTTTTCGCACAGTGCAAAAGTCAAAAAGACCATTTGCACTGTGCAAATCGCATTGTCGCAGCGGCATAATTGAAACCCGCTTATGTCGCGGCGATATTTCAAACGCACAGTGCGAAAAGCAATCCAAAAAAAGGCGAATGCACGGTGCAAAAAACGAAAACTTTTTTCGCACAGTGCGCGCAAATGTCCACGCACTTTATGAAAATACCAGACAGTAGTTTGTTAGTCATCTTTAAAACAGAGTTTTTTGGGATTAAAGAACTTGTTCAAACACTAAAACAGACCGTAAAACACTCGCCTTTTACCTCGGTGAAAGGTCAATTGCACGGCCAAACAATTCAACGGATCAAATGTTGTTTGACCACAACACACACATGAATTCGTTGGGTCCTTAGCGTCTCAAACAGATTAAAAATTAATGTCAATGGAGATTTTGGGGATAAGAAGTTGGAATTACTTCGGTTTTTTCAAAAGTGCGTGGAATTTTTTGCCCAAAAGAACTCCGCTTTTTCGCACCGTGCATTTGACATTTTGCACTGTGCAACAGAAATATCGCGCGACAAAAAGCCATTTTGAGCTGTGTCGCGGCGATATAGTAACTTTTGCGACATGCACTGTGCAAAAACCAAAGTCCACTTTGCACTGCGCAATTTCTCGCTTTTTGCACCGTGCAATAAGCTTTTTTCGGGTGTCGCTCGCACCCTGACTTTTTTTGGCACAGTGCATGTCGCCGAAATCATTTCAGCGACTTTGCGAACGGACCAGCAAAAAAGCACTGTGCAAACGGGATTGCACGGTGAAAAAAGGTCAAAATGCACTGTACGCCGGGACGAAAAGTCTATGTACGCCGGGACGAAAGTCTGTACGCCGGGACGAAAAGTCTACGCACTTTCTGAAAAAGCGTAGTCATTCCAGAAAGCGCGCAGACTTTTTTCGCGGCGCATAGTGTGTTTTTTCTTGTCCGCGTCGCTGCGACATCCACTTTTTGCACTAGCGACATAAACTTTTCTACTAAAAACGTTGCCGCGAAATTTTGAAGAAATTTCTCAGACTTCATGGCGCGATTTGTACAAAAAATTTCTAGAGAAATACCCTAAACATGACTCTTCATCTGTCTGTCGGGAAAATAATGTGGATTCACGCCTAAGAATCGCCCATCATCGCTTTGCGACGGCTAGCCGCGGCTGTAGATTCGTTATTTTCAATTGCTGAATCTCCGCTTGCCAATGGCGAGTTATCGTTTTGACTGATTCATATGCGGGCCATTTAGAAATCGTAAAAGTTTACAGATAATCGAACGACTTTTTTTAAAGCGCTTCCATTTTTAGTCAGTTTCCGGCTTGATTTTTGCTTTTTTTCGCCAAACTCTTTGTTTTTTGGCCGTTGAAATTTTTGGAAATTGTGTTAAACTGTAGAGTAGACTTATCACGCTGTGATTTATTTTGTCTAAATCATAATTTACAGTACTTTTGCCTAAAAACTGAAAAATTTTCGAGTATATTTTCCCAATTTTCTCCCGAATTTTTCTCCAATCAATTCAACCCAAAACGAATTGTCCTTGCCTCCCAATAACTCCCACTAGTCTTATCTGTCTTCTCGTATCTCCCCACTTTTTGTATTTCCTCCCAAAAAAGTGAGAGATCTCATTTCTCCATTCATGTACGTACTTCCAAAGCGCTGAATGTTTGTGCAGAACAAATTCGTCTTTCGAAAATTCGCCGCACCACAACCACGCCCCCCTTCAGCACTACATTACGAACATCAGAAACGAAAAGCCTTGGCCCGAAAAGGGAGCGAAATGGGGGGAGGCCGACAAAAGATCCTCAAACTATACAATTCGTGGGAATTTGAACTCCCACCTCGTTTGACACAAGCAACAAACAGAGGCGAATGTAAAGTAGAGGTTGGGGATGTGACACAGGGCTCAGGGTACAAAGAGAGGCGGTATTGTCAGTGTGTCGGGAAAATAATGAGTCGCAATTTTGAAGCGATAAATAATCGAAAAAATGAATGTCTTCGCGACAAAATAAAAGAAAAAATTTCGCTTCAGCGACAAGAATGGCCCAGCGACATTGTGCTCATTATTTTCCCGACAAACTGACATGTAAATTGAAGGGTAAATAAATAGAAGACGTACTGAAACAGCTACAGTGGGGGGGCCTGATCCAGCGGCAAAAAACGTACCATTTCGCATCCGGGAAGTATAAAAAATGTGGCAAAATGCTTCCCTCTCCAAGTGAAAAAACATTGTTTTGAAGGGTGCGCCCTTTTTCCTCACGAAACAGGCTGGCGCGTTTTTCAAATCTGAGCTTTTCCACTTGGAGAGGGAGGTATTTTGCCATATTTTTTGATACTTCCCGGATACAAAATGGTACGTTTTTTGCCACTGTATCAGGTCCACTGTAAACACGTCAAACCAAATGGTCCGGTGACCGCAATAGACCCTTTGCTATCAATTTTTTTGCATAGTTCACAAGAAAATTTAGTCATCTTTCTTGGAGCAGCGACTGCTGCAATGAAACCCCAAAAAAACTTTTTTTACTTTTCATAGTTATTGGACTTGATGTATAAAAAAATACCATAAAAACCATTAAAAAGGAGTTGCGGCATAACCTGAAAAAAAATCTTTTTTAGAAATGTAAAATACGAATCTTACATTAAAAAATAACGCGAAAAAACTCGAAAAAACGAAAATAAAAAGCATAAAAAAAATGTCCGAAATCGGCGACAAGCACTGTGCGAAAACAAGATTTTTTCTTGCACTGTGCAATTTCTCCATTTTTGCACCGTGCAATAGGCTTTTTCGGCCGTCGCCCTGACTTTTTTCGCACAGTGCAAACGTTACAAAATGAGTCGACTTTGCGAAAGGACTATTCTGCCTTGATGCTGTTTTTTCCGCCCATTTCTAACGGTGTTTCGGCGGAGAGAAAAAGTTGACCAAAATGGCGAGGGGAAGACTTGACTCGATCAATTTTTTCCACTTTTTATGTTTACACAAATTGGCCTGCTATGAACGACGTCGAAACATTTTCGAACCTCTTGAACGCGCGACTAAATTTAGCCCAAGATCAGAGGTCGCAAAGAAAGAAAGAAGGACACAAAAAGAACAATAAACGTCAAGTTCGTTTGTTTGCGTACGTACATGTTCGTTTTTGATCCCTCCTGGCATTCCGGACCCCTTGAAGCATGGCGTTATTATGCATGCAACTGTGATTCCATCCCTTTTGGGTTCGGTTTTTTGGACGGAAATCCCACTCAGAAAACGCGGTTGTGTTTTTGACAGCAAAGGTCCAATTGCACTGTGCGATCAAACTTTGGGGGTTCCGCACCGTGCAATCGAACTTTTGGAATTTTCCGCACTGTGCAATCGAACTATTGGAGCTTTCCGCACTGTGCAATCAAACTTTGGGAATTCCGCACCGTGCAATCGAACCTTTGAAGTACCGCACTGTGCAAACCAATTTGTGGAGTTTTTTGCACAGTGCAGTCGAGCCTTGGGAGCTCCGCACTGTGCAATCGAATTTTTTGGGAGCCCTGCACTGTGCAATCGAAATTTGGGACTCCTGCACTGTGCGATCGAACTTTTGAAGTACCGCACTGTGCAATCGAATTTTTTGGGAGCCCTGCACTGTGCAATCGAACTTTTTTGGAGCCCTGCACTATGCAATCAAACTTTTGGAGATACCGCACAGTGCAATCGAACTTTTGGAGTTCCGCACTGTGCAATCGAACTTTTTGAGCTCCGCACGGTGCGATCGAACTTTTGAAGCACCGCACTGTGCAATCGAACTTTATGGGAGCCCTGCACTGTGCAATCGAACTTTTTGAGCTCCGCACGGTGCGATCGAACTTTTGAAGCACCGCACTGTGCATTCACAAAAAAAAAAACATTTTCCGCACTGTGCCGACTCTGCGATTTAAAACAGTATCATGACTGCACAGTGCAATAAAAATTTAAAATTTTTTGATTGCACAGTGCGGTCAGAAGACAAATCTGGTTGCACGGTGCGGTTGAAATTCATTTTTTTTATCGCACAGTGCGGCTGCAATTTTTGCGCGATTGCACTGTGCAGTCAAAAAAAAATCAAAAAATCGACTGCACTGTGCAAAAAAAAGAGGTTTATTCCTCCATTTTTCGTATTAAAACCCGACAAAAAACTGTTGACATTACAATTTATAGAATGAGATTAACTACGGTCTCGGATAAGAGACATCATAGTACGAATCTTGAGCTGTACTCTGCTGTTTGCACCCACTAATCTAATACGATAACGCTATGTGTTAACTTCCTCACTCAATGCATGCAATGTCTGGGAATTAAAAACCGTTTTTAGACGAAATTTGAGGCATTTTCCGCGGTGACACAAGGTATACGACATAAACTACAATTTTCGTATACATAATAGAAGTGGCTACTGCTATTTTGGTGTAAAATGTACATACGCGTAGTACGATACATTCATCCACCCATTTCTCAAGCCCACATTTAGACGCAGGGTTCACAAACCACGGCCCATAAATACAAAAATGCAATTCGATCCCACAAAAGGGCAAGTCGAATAGGGTCCAATAAAATATTTATATAAAACCAATAAAACAGTCTCCTTTCCGGCCAATGGAAACATCACTGGGACAATAAATTATATTTTTTTTTGCCAATTTATAAAAACAAAAATTTTTGCACAGTGCAAAAAAAAATTTTTTTATCACTGCACTGTGCAGGCGCTAAGTGGGTTTTTTGCACAGTGCAAAATAATTTTTCCGTTTTTTTACTGCCCTGTGCAAGGAAATGCACCGAAATTTTTCGTCGCGGTGCTGCACAGTGCGGATTTTTTCATTTTTTTGTCACCGCACAGTGCAAACGCAAAGTCTTTTTTCGCACAGTGCAAAATTTTTTGAAGTTTTTCACTGCACCGTGCAAGGAAATGCATCGAAATTTTTCGTCGCAGTGCTGCACAGTGCAGATTTTTCCTGTTTTTTATGGTTGCACCGTGCAAGCGCAAAGAGTTTTTTTTGCACAGTGCATTTTTTATTGTTTCCGTTTTTCGCACAGTGCGGAATAAAAATTGTTTCTTCCCCTGCACTGTGCTGAAAATATTTTTTGTCGCTTTCCTGCACAGTGCGGAGAAATTATTTCCGCACAGTGCAAAAAGAATTATTTCTCACTGCACTGTGCAGAAAATTTTTTGTCATTTTTTGCACTGTGCAACACAAAAAAATTAAACATTTTTGCACTGTGCAAAAAAGAAAAAAAAATCTGCACTGTGCAAAGAAATCATCCATTATATTACACTAAACAATAGCCAAATCCTCCAAAAAAATATTTGTTCCATAGCCTACGGCGCAGTATCATCCGATAGCCTGAGGGGAATTACGAATTTCCGTAATCATTCACCTGCCCCTTTCCCACTCGCCACCGGCCATAAAATTGTGGTGTTTGAGCGGGAATGGGACATGGCCACCGTATTCGGAGGGGTTTCCAATTAAATGCCGGCCGAAATTTGGCCGCTTTTAATAATTCATGGAGCCGGCGTTTCGGCTGCTAGGTTACTCGGTCGACTACCATAACAATCGGAGTTTATAACAAAACTGGCTAGAGTCTCAGGGCCGCCCAAATGTGATCTTGGTTCTGTCGTCGTATTTTAGCAGGTTTATTGGGCAGAAAGCGCAAAAAAGGTTATGTAAAAATCCATTTTCCAAAACTTGCTTGCTATAAAAAAGTCTTGTTTCAACGCAAAATGCCCTCAGGGCACACTCAAAATCATTTACATAAAATTTTATGCAGCTTTTATATGATAAACTACATTAAACGGAACAAAGTAGAAACGTTTTGTCCCCTTCTCTGCGTTGTTTCCGTGTTCGTAGAGGGTAATTAAGCAAAGCTGTTTCGAATTGTAGCCAAGATAATGGGGTAATTAGTAATCCAAACACATATCATTCTGTCTGGAAAATAATGAGCCCTCTCTGTCGCATTGACAATTGCATTGCCGCCGAAGAAACGAGTCGTGTCGCGACAAAATCAAATTGCTTTTTACTTCAGCGACACGATCAGCGCACATCGCATGTGTGAGACGGCGAAACGACCGAACTTCCAGCCCGAATTCCCACGGAAATCATCATTTATTATTCAAATTTGATTGTCCTTTCCTACATGGGACTTCCCTATATAAGGGCCGCTTTTCACTGAATAAATCACTTGAACTCGAGCTTCTCGTCTTATCGTGTGGTTGTCCCCCGGGCCTCTCGACAGTATGGACTCATTATTTTCCCAGCACAATGATTCTACATACTTGTTGATGATTTGCGATTGCGAATCCTCGTTGCAGCGAGGACTCGCTGTGTTCGTTATAGGAGGATTTGCCCTACCACCTGGACCTAACAATATAAGATTCCCTTACACGGCCACGTTACTAGAAGACGTAAGGAAACAAAATTTACATGGTCCCAGAAAAGGATGACGGCTGTATTACCCTACCACGCTATTCCTCTTTTACTTACTCTGCTGAAGTTGCAGTTACCCGAAGCTAAACATGTAAAATGTCACTCCGAAAAAAACCCTTCTTAGAGAGCAAGTTTTGTCCACACAAAATGTTATGTGCGGGCTACAAATCTTCAGTAAAGAACATTCTATTTTATACATACAATAGAAACGAATATACTATATACCATAGTATATGTCCAACTGCAATGTACAAAACATGGCATGGGAGGCGTGGGAGAGAAACTGCAAAACCTGTAGCGCTGACATACGCCAAAAAAATATCGCATATGTCATAAAAAGAGTCCCAAGTCCATTCTATATCTGTATCACGTTCGCTCTAAATCGAGTGCCAAAAATGTTGCCCTTGAACACGTCCGCAATCTCATCCCATTAGACTCCCATTATCCCACCGTACCCACTTCTTCACCCCCTCCTTTACCCGCATACATCTTCACAACACCGACGAATGCCAAATCAAGAAAAACGCCCTAATAAACCGTGATGAAAGTACGGTTTGCGTGGACCCTGCACCCTGCTCAATCATGCCATTTAAGGCCGTGTTTATGAGGGCATACGGAAACGTAAGTGCAGTGTTTCCTACGTTGGGATGCGGTGTTAAAACTCCCAGCTAAAGATCCCTCATCAATTAATCAAAAGCTTTGCACTTTGTTTGACCGGAATGCCTAATTGCGGCTACGGTAAATGGCATGGATAAAAACGAAGGAAAGGGCATGCCTTCTGTTTTATGGCCGTGTTGTCCATGCAATCTGGGTCCATGCTTATCGACCGAAACAAGGATTCCGGGGTTATATCGGCGTTAGTGCAAAGACAACTTGGGTCAACACTAAATCGATCCATACGGGGCGTAAGGCAGGGGGATATCCAAAAAATGGTTATATCAGTCTGTCGGGAAAGAAGCGGCGGGTCGTGGCGCCTCGGATTCGCGCATCCTCGCTTTGCTACGGCTGCCGAAGCTGGAGATTCTGCACTCCTTTTTCGACAAAGCGAGACGTTTTGCTGCGACGTTCCGCCGTTATTTTCCCGACAGACTGATAGGAATGCCTACGAAGGTTGGCCAAGCCGTTGGATGGTCGGCCGACGCTCGGCGGAGACTCGGCGGAGACTTATCTTCCCGGGAGAATATCATAATGATCACAATGTCGCTGCGCAGATCGTGTCGCAGAAGCGAGAAGCAATTTGATTTTGCCGCGACACAATTCATTTTCTCGGCGGTGATACGATTTTCGACGCGACAGAGCGCCGATTACTGGCTCAGATAATCCATTTCCTCATTAAAGTGCTCCCATTGGTCCAACTTTTCAAAGCTCACATTTCGCCCTATTCAAAAAACAGACTTACAACACTTACGACGACATTACTGGGAAAGTAATGTACCGAGAGCACTTTACAAAGAAAGCTTGTACTTTATTCGCACCCCGGCGTAATCGGCACTTTTTTAGCGCCCGTTAATTCGCACATTTCATACGTTGGGGTGCAAAGTACTCGACCAGAGCCACTTGGCCCCTCAAATATTATTAGTATCTGAATAACGGCCGTATTCGAATAGGTTTTACGAATCTACTGGACGTTGTGAAGGCAAAGTGCAGCCGACTTTGTGACTTGGTCAGAGCATACAACGTTTACAGAGTGAATGCAAAAATTGCGACGCACATATTTCCACGGAACTTGGCGCGACTTTACTACCAGTCTGTCGGGAAAATAATGAGGATCTTTTTGCATCCGAAATCTCTTCGCGGATAAGAAAATAAATTGTGCTGCTGAAAAATCAAATTACTTTTCACTTCAGCGACGCGATCGGCACAGCGACATTTTCTCATTATTTTCCCGACAGATTGATATACTTGTCGATAATTTGCGATTCCTTCTACAGTGACGGAACCGATCCAGTGGCAAAAAACGTCTCATTTTGCATCCGGGAAGCATCAAAAATGTGGCAAAATGCTTCCCTCTCCAAGAGAAAAAACCTCGTTTTCAAAGTTGCGCCCTTTCCCTCACAAAAAGAGCGGGCTCGTTTTTGAAATCGGAGTTTTTTCACTTGGAGAGGGAAGCATTTTGCCACATTTTTAACACTTCCCGGATGCAAAATGGTACGTTTTTTTGCCACTGGATCAGGGTCCCCCATTGTAGCGAGAATGTGCTTTTATAAGCGGATTTGCCGCATCACTTGGACCGGAGACTCCCTTGCGCGGCCTACAAAACCTTCAATAAAATGTTCCCGGCAGCAAAGTACGAAAGATGGCTTTTGAAAGGCGAGCGATAGCGCGGAAAAATGGCTGCAAAGAGCTATTTCGTCAACTGTTTGTCATGACTTTGCGTTATACACTAATTTTGCATATTTCATCCGCTATTCGGAAATTTTGTTTTGCACAAAATTGAGTAATGACCTAGACTACAAATCCCCAACAAAAGGAAGTAATAAAGCATGACCAGCGTACAAAAACTCGACTAAAGGGCGAATAATTATGGATGGGAGCGGCATGGAAATGAAATGGAACGAGCAAAAAGTTGGGACAATAAAATTATTGGGACGAAATTGATATTCCGGTAAGTGCAGTCGAGTAAAAAATTTATACAAAAAAATCATTTTTAGTTGAAAAAATCACAAAGAAAATACCAGCGATAGCTCAGGGTCAAGAAAATGAAAGTTAGGACAATTAAAGTTAGAAAAAGTGGACGTCTTATAAGGGTTTTCCAAGCATCCGGCAAGCCTTGGAGAGCGTCCGCGCAACGTTCAAAGACGTTGAAAACCTTTACCGGGCCTTGGGGGCACCTCTTACAACCTTTTTGTGAGTTTCCACCCGCCTCACACCTCGTATCCATCAATTTTTTTTTGTTTTCGGTCTAATATTTTAGGTGAATTAAAGCAAATCATGAGCTAGAATTTTTAGAAAAACATTTTCAACCGATGAAAAGCATTTTTGCGAAATTTCAAAAATCAAAAAAAAACTTTTTTTGTCAAATTTCAAAAAAAATCTCTCAGAAAATACGTTTAGTTTTGTCCAAAAAACCTCCAAATTCCCTCTTCATCATTTCCAAACATTGCCATCCATTAATTACGCAACTTTTTCCAAGAAAGCCCTATAAATTTCGAAAAAATAATAAAATTCTTGCCCTTAAAAGTGCACTTGTTCAAAGATCTCGCTCCGGCTGGCCGCATTAAACCTCTAAATCCTCTTCACACTCTCTCTTGCTCAGTAGAATTACTCGACTAAACACAGTCCACTTCAACATTCATACGTATATGCACTGTGCAAAAAGTCTTTTATTCTTTGAAAGGAATGATTTTACAGAAAAAATTATTTTTCATCAAAATCCCAAGCTCCAAAGAGATTATACTTGAACTGGAATTTTGACTGTAATTTGGAATCTATTTATACCCACTTTTCCCCTATAACAATATTTTTTTATTTTTTTTAAATTTCATTTTCGTATTTTGCCCCCATTTTTTCATTGTTCAACTCCTCAGCAACTCTGAAAGCCCAAATTCTGCTCACTTGATCTCTCACCGCTCCCCTCAAAGTCCTTCGCAACATTGTACGGGTTGATCTCCTGAGCGTCGCGCGACAAAACGCCCGATCCCCGAAACGGAGTCCAACGCCTCGCCACGAATTCGATATTCCCTTTGTAGCGGCGCGTAGACTACAGTTCGCGGTTCAATGGGCGCCCCCCGAGAGGCGTTTTGAGCCCGTTGATGTTGTTTTCGGCGACCAAGAGCCCGGCCCGAACGTGTGCCCGCACCCTCGAGAATAAGCGGCGAAGACGTGCGGAAATTGAATGGCTTTGTGTGTCACAAAGTGGGACACATCTTGCACTATAATGCAAAGACAACGTGGTATGCATTAAGAGGGGAAAAAGGGTTAAAAATTGAGTTAGGCCGAAACAGCGAAAACCCCGACTCGTCGCCGAAAAATTGAAAAATGCCATTAAAAAGGCTCAAAAACCAAGTAAATTATTGAACGCCAAGGAAGAATATAGCTCTTTCTCCAACATAGATGCGATATACGATACCTCAAGCTACATACCTTCCGGCAATTTTCAAATTCCCCCGTTTATCATCAAAAAAAAAGGCATTTTTATGAAACTCCTTGAAAAAGTTGCAAAAAAACTTCTTAAATGAATGTAAGCGGATAAATAACTGCATGCAGTATGACTGAGGATTAGCATACTATAATCTGCAGTTAAAGAAAGTGCTCTATTTTCGGTTAGTCATCAATTTATGGCAAAAAATCGGAAATTGAGCGATTTTTGGGAAAAAAACTGCAGAATCGTGGGGAAATGGTTTGAATTTTAGATTTTTTACTTGGTAAGGATCTATGTAGGGGCCAGATATTTTATGTAAACCCATGGATTCGTATTTTACAATAGAATAAAATCACTTATTTGGCCAAATTTCGGTAAAAACTATGAAAAATCATCAATTTTTTGAAATTTTCCAATTCCCTCCTCAAACAACGGTCTTAAAATAACACCATCGTCATTGCAAGTCCACAAAAAACGTATTCGAATAGAAACGCACCGCGTCGAGAGTGAAAACTCGCCCGGTTTAAACTACAAAAACTTCGAAATCCCCAATTATCGGCGGGAAACGCGTTGAAATCGTCGGATTTTCGAGTGTAACAAAGTCAAACGACATTCCACTACTACGTAAAACAAGCAGTAGTCCCTTCCTCATCTATGAAGCCATAAAATTCAAAGAAATTTTCATGGTAAATTTGTTTTTTTGCTCAAAATACCATGAAATCGCCGATGAATTACATTTTTTCGGTGAAAACAAAGCAAAACACAAGCTTTTCGTAGTGTAACAAACAAAAGCAATATGCAGACTACAATGTAGACGAGTTGTAGTGTAATTTACACTTCGTACAAAGGCACAGAATTCAAATATCGGGGGTTTTTTGGCCAAAACTCGAAAAATTTTGGAGTCTTTGCGGAAAATGATGATTTTACCGTGTGAATCTATTTTTACTCGCAAAAAACTATCACTACTCGACAAAACACAGTCCAGAATACGGTTGTAAACTCCATTATGCAACAAACATCAACTGCAAATTGCTGAACTTTTCGATTTTCATCAAAAAACCCCCGAATTTTTGTGATTTCAACGCAAATCAGCGACAAATTCCGTAAGTAGTGGTGGGAAAAGGTACGCTACAGTATTTGAATGACTGTGGAATACATTAGTCATTCGATTAACCGCTAATTCGGGACCAAAATAGTTCAAATATTCAAGATTCGGGGAGCGAATCAAAGTTTTGATGGGTTCAGGTGAAACATTCCGAAAATTTGCATGTAAACCGTTTAGTAAATGTTGAATATACGATTTTCGAGTGTTTATAACGCTCTCTACCGACAATTAGCACCTGTTTCGGGTTTCGCAATACAATTTTTGTAGGGAGTTCGGGGAGAAAACGTGATTTTTGGCAAAGTTTTCGCGTTCTCGACATTTTCCTCGATTTTTCTGACCAAAAATCGGTTCGAAATATGTTTTATTTGCCTTCGGCTATGCCTAGATAGCCTAAAGTTTACGTTGACAACAAAATATCAATTGACTTCAAGTGTTTTCCACCATTTCTTGGCTATTTTTGACATTTCTCGTCGAAAAGTCTTAAAAACGCCACAAATTCTTAATTATTCCGAGGAAACCAGCCCCGTCGACCTAAGGGCATTACGTCCATTATGTCCGCTTAGTATTCACTTTCCAATTTACATTGTCGGGACCACCGCATACGTACATTTTGTCGGTTACAAAAGGTCTCGTACGGCTCAGAAAAGTCTCGTTTTCGGGGAGAAAAAGAGGCAAAAAACCGATAAGGAAATAAATCGTATATACTGTAATGCACCCAGCTTTACTTATGACGTCATTTTACATCAAAAAAGTTCAAAAAAAATTTTTTTAAATCATAAAATCAACGAAAAAGTTGACCTTTTTTAAGTCATCATTTCTCCATTTCCCTTGCCTTAAAAATTTCCACATATCGCCCTCAGGCATTGATGTCAAATGCATATGCATTCGGTCACACAAATTGGATTCGAAACGCTTTTTTCGGCGGATTCGTTCGGATCCGGAAGTGTTTCAACGGGTCCAAATCCCCCCAAAGACTACGGTAATTGTGGTTGTGACGTGAGCTTTGGAGCCCCAAATTCCCCCTCTGGGAAGGCGACTTGCGCGCCGCTTAAGAGTGCAGCACGCCTTGAGGGCCAATTTTTTGGCCAAATGAATTCGTGGGGCGGATAAACATGTTATCATCGAGATGAAATTGGATTGCACTTTGGTGAGGTCATCTAGAGCGATTTCCTTGCAAAAAAGTACAAACAGATCTTGATGAAACTTGGTACGAATTTAATGCAGAATGAGAAATAAAAAATGCAACATTTTTTGGGTCCTAGCGCGAAAACATTTAGCTGTAGCTAGATTAATTTTCCACCATTAAATTCTCCGTGTTCTTCTCTCCAAGTCTTGCGATTTTCATCATCATATCAATTGATTTACATATTCTTTTCGACTGTCAAACAGAGGGAGCCCGATTTTACAGGGTGACACATAAAAATGCAAACTTTTTTGGGCCCTAGCGCGAAAATATTTAGGTGTAGCGAAATGAATTTTTTACCATTAAATTCTCTGTATTTTTGGATCTTAGTCTTTCGATTTTCCTCCCCATATCGATTGATTTACATATCTGTTTTGAGTGTCAAACAGAGGGACCCGTATTTTAAAGGGTGACAAATAAAAAATACAACTTTTTTGGGTCCTAGCGCGAAAATATTTAAGTGTAGCAAAATGAATTTTTTACCATTAAATTTTGTGTATTTTTGGGTCCTAGCATTTCGATTTTTATCCCCATATCGATTAATTTACATATTCTTTTTGACAATCAAACAGAGGGACTCCGATTTTACAGGGCGGCAAAAAATGCAACTTTTTTTGGGTCCTAGCGCGAAAAGATTTAGGCGTAGCAAAATGACTTCTATCCCATTAAATTCTCCGTGCTTTTCTCCCCTAGGCTTTCGATTTTCATTCCCATACCGATTGATTTACATATCAGTTTTGAGTGTCAAACAGAGGGACCCCAATTTTAAATTGTTTCGAGAAGAAAAAGGACCATGTAGGATTTCTAAATTGCTCGGTGGAAATAAAAAAATCTGCCATGAAGAAGCCATCGAAATTCAACCAACTTGGTCCTGATGAAAAAGCCTAGCAAATAGAAGAAAACGCACCTTGAAAATTTGATTTTGCCGCAACACAATTCATTTTCTCGGCAACGATGCGATTTTCGTTGCGACAGAGTGCCCATTATTTTCCCGACAGACTGACGTTTAATTTTTTTTGCTCTCTGGACTTTGCTCTGCTTCTTCACTGACCATTTTTCTATACTTTAAAAATTGCAAAAATTGTAAAAATCCCAAAAATTCTTTTTTTTTTCCAAAAAATCCCCCACAAATTTCGAAACAACCCCCTTGGGCAATGTTATCAAATGCTTCGCAATTAACAACTAATGGATTCTTATCAACGGAACCAAACTTTAATCGATCACTCTGTACTAATTGATAGAGTTGTAAGCAGTTTTAGAGAGACGTGGGTTTAATGGGTCCAATTACAGTATTCCCTTGGGGCAATTAAGTGTAATGGAAACGTTGAGACGAAACAAAATTGTAGAAGCATTATGCGTCATTGGGAATAAAGCAAGCTATTTTTGAGGGTCTTTTGTTGTTGGTGTAAAAGTTTGAAGGTAGGGTTTGTAGGCTAGTACAAACAACACAACAAAAAGTTGTAAAGAGGCATCAAAAATTCATCATAAATTACCAAGTAGCTTGTCACAGCCGTGTTTTGAACTCACAGATAGTCGTAGTATGGGTTATGAGGTCATTGAAAGTAGTTTTAGATAATTGGACGAAATGTCACAAAAATTATTGGAAATTTTTTTCTGTTGAAAAATATTGAAAACAATATGAAAAAAGAAAAATGAATGACTTATGCCATATTTATTGCCCATGTAATGGTCTAAGAGAGCATTAAAAATGTCTAATTTCGCCATATCGCCCAATTTTCAGCCGAAAATCGCACAATTTTTGGAATTTTTATGTGTTTTGCTATTTTTAGGTTAAAAATATTTTGGCCAGTGAAGGAAAATACCTTTTCTGACATTGTAATAAAACATGCTAGTATTTTTACAAAACTATCGGTCGCCAAACGGCCGAAATTTGCAAAAAATTTGTCCTTCTCCCAAATTTGCTGACAATTTTACTGTAAATTCCTCTCTCTCGAAAAAGTTTTCACAGTTCATTAGTACAGTCACAAAGGACGGATCATCGAGTGCGCTGCTCCCTTCAGCCGAACAGAGATTACATTGTTCGTCCTCTCGTCTTTTGAGTCCCCCATTTTTTCTCCGATACATGCTCCATGATCAACCGAAAAAAGCGCCCTCTCCCTTTTGTGTTTGTTCGCGGGAGTTGGTCGCGTTGAACTCTGAACCCACTTAAAACCGAGGATTTCTTCGTCGTCTCTCCGCTCTGTTCGGCCGAAAAACGGCCCAACACGAAACTGGATTTGAAGATGTTGTGAGGCGAAAAGGAGGGAAAAGTGGCTGAATAAAATGGGAATTCTGCCTTTCGGAATATTTTTGGGACCATTGGGGTCAAGTGGAGGAATAGGTGGACTCCAAGTTGTATTAAAATTTATTTAAAAATGAGAAAAATCAAAAAAAAATACACAAAAAATAGAAAAAATTAGAAAAATCAATAAATTTCTTTTAAAAAATCAAATTTTTTTAAAAGAAAAAAGAATGAATATAATCTACAAGGCATATGTAACATTTCTGCCAACTTTATCTCCTTTCTTCAACGATTTTTCAGCCCAAAAAAACAAGATTTTTTGCCTGAACCCCCAAAAATTTTATTTTTTTATTTTTTTCCTAAATTTTTCGAAAAATTCCGAGAGAAAATCGACTTGCAACAATGACTGTTGAACATTCTGCATATAAAACTTGTATCTTGTTGTTCTTAAAAAAAAATTTCTTTTCCAAAAATGTTTGCCCTTGGTCCCCCCTGTTCAAAAAATTTTTTTTATTAAAAACCTTTCGGTTTTTGTAGGATTTGTTAGCTGAAAGCCAGCTGATCCCACTACAAATTCTGTTTTTGCGGACGACAAATCGTACAGATCGTTTTGGACCTTGCTTTACTACAGCAATTCCAAAAAAATTTTTTTTTGATTACCGCACTGTGCAGAGGAAAAAATTTTTTTTTTGATTTTTTGCGAAAAAAATCAATAAAATTTTATTTTATTTTTATCCATGGGGAATATGGAAGTCATTTTCAGGCGATAAATGTATTTTTTTTCATATTAAAAATAAAAAAAATGAAAAAAATGCGAAAAAATCAAAAATTACAAAAAAAAAATGAAAAAAAAAGAAAAAAAGAAAAGTTGCGGTCGGCACTTTAAAACCCTCAGCGAACTTTGTTTGGGGCCGCAACAAAATCTGGGAATTGGCCACTCGGAAAAAATCGATTACAACATGGTGGAAATCAAGTTATCTGATCTGAAAACGAACAACATTACTGTCAAGAACGGTGGAAAAAAAACTTGAAAGAGATTTAAAAGTGGAAAGGTGATCGTTAAAGTGCAAGGAATCACGGAGACAACGCAAAAAAAATTTTTTTGAAATTTCGAAAAAATCAAAAATTAAAAAATAAATTTTGATTTATGAAAAAAATGGAGATGTACGAAGAACACAGTTAGAATCTTCTGTAAATTTGATGTATTACACTTTAAAAAGGCCACAAATAAATATAAAAAAATTTCAGCTCAATTGTTGCAAGCGGAATGGAGATATTTACAGTCTTTTAGCGAGAGAGCACGTAAAATGAGGAGGGTCGGGCAGACGAAAACTTTTTTTGGCTATATCTTTTTCAGTTCTTTACATAAAAATGTGATTTTTTGTGGAAACGCTGTTCACTGTGCTTGTAATCAAACCCCAAATTTTGAAATTGAAAATCAAAAAAATTTTTTTTTTTTTTTTATTTTTTTGCCAATTGAATGAAGAGTCGTAAAGAAAAAAACTTTTTTGACAATAACTCGAAAATTCTGTAAAGAAAAAACTGATTTTTTTACTGACCCAGTGTGCCATCTAATTCTAACAACAAATGAAAATTTGTGACAAAAAATTTTAAAATCGAAAAATTTTAAAATCGAAAAATTCTAAAATTCTTATGGGCTTCTGACGTCAAATTTTTGATGATTTCCAACTAACAAAAAACTCTTTTATACCTCAAAATTCTCTCGGCAAAATCAAGTTTCTTTTCACTTTAGCGACACGATCGGCGCAGCGACATTATGCCCCATTATTTTCCCGACAAACCAATATTTCTGCCCCATTTTGCGAGCTTAATATTCTAGCTGGACTGAAATCTCTGTATCAGTCTGTCGGGAAAATAACGGCGGATCGTCGCGCCTCGGAATCGCCCATCATCGCTTTGCGACTTCAAACCGCGGCTGGGAATTTGGTGCGCGATAGCGGCGAGGCGAGACATTTTGACGCGACGATCCGCCGTTATTTTCCCGACAGACTGATACATCAAATCCCCGTACAAGATACCCTGTCTAGAACGGGTAATTTCATGAATTTCATAAAGTCCCTCAAGTCAATTTTTTTAGCCAAACTGAACCTTCTTTTTTGGATCCCTTCAATGATAAATTTGGCTTTTTTCATTGCTTCAAATCGTTGTACACAGACCTATCTATATTATGTTGTATGTGTATGTTTTTTTCTCGTTGTGAACATCCGCTTTTGTCCCGTAAGCCTCTATAAAATGATGTATTCATCCGCTTTCAACTCGCAAAAATTTTTAGCAGATTTACAGTGAGGGACCGGATCCAATGGCAAAAAACGTCCCATTTTGCATCCCGGAAGGGACCAAAATGTCTCCAAATACCTCCCTTCTCTAAGCTAAAAACCTTATTTTGAAGGGCCCGCCTTGAAGGAAATGGCGCGCTTTTCAAAGCGGAGTTTTTTAGCTTAGAGAAGGGAAGGGTTTGGAGACATTTTGGTCCCTTCCGGGATGCAAAATGAGACGTTTTTTGCCATTGGATCGGGTCCCTCACTGTACAAAAGGGAGTGCCTCAAGTGCGACACACAGATCTTCGTCAAATTTTTTGAAGAGACGGCCAAAATTGAAAGCAAAAATCACATATAAAAGGAGTGTCTAGACATGGCTTGTCGGCCGGCCCGGGCCGAAAATCTCGGCCAGGCCCGTCGGCCTGGAGGGTTCCGGCCGGCCCGGCCCGTTTTAAATTTGCTTCGGCCCGGCACTTATGACCAGAGATTGCCACGGCTCCGGAGCCGGCTCTTGGCTCCGGCTCTGAGCGGCTCCGGCTCCGCGCCGGGAGCCAGAGCCGGGGCCGGAATTTTTGGGTGCGGCTCCGGCTCCTGAGCCCAAAGTCGGAGCCAGGCATCTCAGCGTTCAGAAAAGTAAAAATTTCATGATCTTGTTAAACCAAGTTGCTTGAAAAAAAATAACGAAAAATATTGGGAAGGATGTGTAGCATACGACTTGGCTGCAAAAATGTTGGATTTATGATCTCTGGCACTAATAACTTTTATTTTTGGCAAAATATTTTTCAAAATTTTTTTGCACGGGAGCCGGGATTCGGAGCCGGAGACCTTTTTAAATTTTTTATGGGAGCCGTGAGCCGGAGCCGAAATTTTGACCGTGGCAATCTCTGCTTATGAGCAAATATTTTCTATCATCATGTAAATGGATAAATACTGTGTTCAATAGCTATCTAAAAACAAAAATGCCGTTTAAAAAAACCAATGGTGTCTTGACATTTCGTTTATTTTCATTATCAAACCCAATTTTCGCATCGAGATTCTGGACTTTAGATATTGCGGGCCGACAGGCCGAAATTTCGGCCCGGCCCGGGAGCCATGTCCAGGAGTATCAGTCTGTCGGGAAAGCCCATCATTTTGCTGACACATAATATAAATTTATTATGAAATTTATTTTTAATTTGTGCCAAGTTTCATGAAAATTACAGTGTCAAAATTGCTGTAAATATAGTTGATTTTGAGTAGCAAAATCTAGATTTATACAAAAAATGGTTGGTTTTTTTCAGTCTGTCGGGAAAATAATGAGCACTGTGTCGCATCAATTTCTGGGTTTTTTACAATTTTTGTAATTTTCTAAAGTGTCAAAAAGAGATCAGTGAAGAAGCAGAGCAAGGTCCAGAAAGGCGAAAAATTCAAAGATCAGTCTGTCGGGAAAATAATGAGCACTCTGTCGCATCGAAAATTGGATGAATTTGTCGCAAAAAAACAATTTTTTTTCACTTCAGCGACACAGCGACATTTTGCTCATTATTTTCAAGACAGACAGACACTTCCTTAAGTTATTTTTGCTTTCAATTTTGGCTGTCTCTTCAAGAAATCTTCTTTTTTTCCAAATTGTTTCGATTAATGTCTCCAAATTCCCGACCAATCTTTGGTGCATAAAAGTTGGACTCTTTGAAATGCCCTTCAAAAAAATCCCCTTTCATCCCCCCGTTTTTTCGCTTCCTTCCTTTTCGCGTTCGTATAGAGAATGGGATGACTGGAGACACTCGGGGGCCCCGAGGCCATCCTCGATTATGTTTACAAAGCGAGAGTGTAGGATACAAATGGTCAGGAAGAAGTGCGGACAAAAACTTCAGCCATCGTTGTGTCGGGTTTCCAGGCCCGAGTCTCGAACAGGGTACAGTAAAAAGAGCAAAGAGCTTGCAAAAAAAGAGGATTTTTTTCTTCTTTTTTGATGACAAATCCGCGGAAAGTTTAATAAAAAACGCAAAAAAGGAAGTGTTAATCTTGATGAGAATTTGGCAGAAATTTCGAATCGAGTTTTGCAAGGATTTTATCTGATCTATCTTGCAATTGGCAAAAAAATCAAAAATAATCAAAAAAAATTTTTTTTTGATTTTCAACCTAAAAATTTGGGGTTCGATTACAAGTATAGTGAACAGCGTTTCCACAAAAAATCGTCTTTTTATATGGAGAAATAAAAAAGTTATAGGCAAAAAACGTTTTTGTCTGCCCGACTCTCCTCACTTTACGTGCTCTCTCGCAAAATGACTGTAAATATCTCAATTCTGCTGTCTAATAGTGAGCAAAAATTTTTAAGGATTAACATACAGCCTATTTATAGTGTATTTACTGGACTTGAGGTACGTAGTAAGGAGGTATCTCAGGCTGTAGTTCATATTTTTATTTGAGGTACCTAATAAAAAAAAATCTTATACGGGAAGAAACAACAGCAAAATTCTGTCACTATTGGCCTTGAAATCTCCTAAAAAGTGTTTCATTTCGTTTTTTCCACAGCTAATCTTCCATCTGCGACACATCCACACCTTCCACAGTAAATTACAGCTCGACCCAATTGTAAGGGTAATTTCCAATCAAAGTGTGGGCTTTGATCTTCGGAGTTTGAAGGATTCAAGTGAGAGGGAAATTTGTCGATAATTGCTCCCTACGATGGATGCTTCCAACTACAAGATTGTCACGCTTTTGAAGTCATTATTTGTTTTCCACCGTAGGACGTCAAAAAGTGTCGAGTTTTGCGAGCGGAATTAGCCGCGTCCTATGTTTTTTGTAGGAAGGGATCATATCTGACTTCATACTACGGGGAGCCGGTCAAGTTCTACCGCATACGACCATTTTCCGCCAGTGGGAATCGAACTCGCATTAATCGGCGGACCGTTGCTTAACTTGTCTGATCGGACGGGATGACGCACAAGAGAGTCGACAACTTTCGCGCACTCTTTTTGATCGGTCATTCCTAAAGAGTAAAAGTTGTCGAAGTGGTAATGCGTTATCCCGTCCGATCTGGTAAGTTAAGCAACATTGCGGTCCGAGTTCGATCCCCATAGGGAAAAATTGTAGAAATCGTAGCGGTATTTCAGATTTTCGATAGAAAAAAGTTCTTGTGTGCAGAGTACAACCCCTAAAGTCCATTGTAGCTTTATAATCTCTGTTTTTGCATTCATTTTTCCCCTAAACTTCTCTTGACTACATAAACAACACCAATTTTCACGCCATTCATCTCCCCTGGCGCCATGATGGGACCGCAGCCCCGCGACATGAACGAACAATGGATCCGTTCTTGTTCGTGTTTGTAGTATTGAGTGCTCGCGAGCGCGTAAGATCATTTTCCACCGCTCAAAGTCCAAACGCGGCAAACGCCTTTGACTTTGTGTCTTACAAAGTTCACAAAACGACAACTCTTGTAGTGTGAACGAGTTGAGCCCAATACAACCTACAAAACAATGTCCAATTGGCAGCTGGGGATGGAAATTTTATAAAGTTTTCGTCGTATCTTATCGCCGCTTTACGAAATGCATCGAAAAATTTGGTCGTATGTCCCGCTGTTTCAATAAGTTCGGAAAAAATGATGTGGTCTCGGAAAAGTTGCTCCGAGTGGTCTCTATAAATAGTTTGAAAGCAGAGAGAGCAATTTTGAGACTACAAAAAGTGAAATTCTCCGGGATTGGCCCAATTTTTGGTCTCGAAAAAAGTTCAAAGATGTTTGTGAGAGACGATAATCACCAAGTTCTACGATTAGAAAAGCAAAAGAACATGCTATTAATTAAGCCATAACGGGCAGAATTTTGAATCAGAAAGAAGCGAAACAAAAATGTTTTAAAAATACCGTATTCCTCGCAAATTAAGCTGGATTCCTAGTTGTAAAAAATGTTTTACAAAGCCTTGAAGCCCTTGTATACTGTATCACAACTTTTTTCCGCTCTTTAAAAACGTTTCTGGGGGATTTCCGCACAGTGCAGCAAAAAATTTAAAATTCGTAATGCGCATTTCTTATTCGAAAAAATGGCCTTTACAGTAACCGAATATGTTGATTAGGTCCGCCTTAAAATTTCTGACTCCATTTTGCTATAAATTTCCATTTGCACCCTGCAGTTTTAAATAAAGAAGTAAAATCATCGCACTGTGCGAAAGAAATTTTATTTTCTCGCACGGTGCGGCGGATTGGCAATTCACCGCACTGTGCAATAAAAAAATAATGGCTTATATTTGTGCTCTATCAATTTTTGACATCATTTTTTACTCTGGTCCTCTGCACTGTGCACTTTTTCCGCATCCAAGATTCAAATTTGCACTGTGCAGAAAATTTCAAATTTTTCACGTTTTTTTCGAATAAAAGCAATTTTAAACTAACACTAATCCCTTTATGACCTCCAAAATCTGTCTCAAACCAGGCCTAATGTCATTCGAAGATCAACGATCACCCGCCAAAACGAGTATCGTCTTTCGTTCCCAACAAAAAGCGAATCCGCAATACTCGGCGGTTGAATAAACAATGAGGAGATGGCCCGTGCGAAAAAAATGCGCTTAGAAACGTTGTCCTGAACAGAGTTGTTACCCCCCGTCATCATCGTAAAAGTGCATTCGAAAGGATGAAGGCCCAATATTTGGTCGTCACGGACGATTTTGGTCGGTTTGTTTGGACCAACCGACAGATCGGCCTTTCTGAAGTGGCGCTGTGCAACCACTGGAGATGTGGTTTTCTGATTTGTGAGGAAGAGAGACCTTAAAATTTTAAAACATCGCCATGGAAAGCATGAATTTGTACAAAAACATGTTGAATTTCCTAAAAATTGTCTTTGTGCAATTTATTGAAGACCAAGTGATTATAATTTTGCAAGAAATTCGGTTTGGAGAACGGCTATTACCGTGTTTCAGAGCTTTTCTCCACCCGGAGTCGAACTCGGATCAGCCGCACTGTTGCTTAACTTGCCAGATCGGACAGGATAACGCACTGCAACACACTAACTTTGGCACTCTCTTTTAGGCGCTCGATTCCGAAAGAGGCAAAAGTTGTCGACGTGGTAGTGCGTTATCCCGTCCGATCTGGCAAGTTAAGCAACGTGCGGTTGATAAACCTGAGTTCGATTCCCGGTCGAATAATTGTTACAACAGCCATAAAAGCAGCCGTAAAAATATGTTGAAAAGAAACAATATTTTGGTTTCAACCCCGTGACCGACCGTATTCCCGGATGCCTCGCATTTTTGCACTTTAACTGCACGATTATTCCGTGATTGGTCGCCGCGATCATCGAAATGAAACAAAAAAAAGGTGCGGGACCGAATTGCTCGCTTTTGTAAGTCGCCATTTCGGACCCGATGATCTCTTCGGCGGTCGCAAAGACCGACCGTGCGCCTGGGATTCGGGCTGAAACAAGTCCGCGATCAAGGGGGCGCAAAAAGTCGCCGAATAAAAGTGGCGTCGAATCCGGGGCATTCGTTGTTTACAACCGATTTCCGCGTGTTCGAAACGCCAGACCGATATCGAATATCGAAGAAATACGAAAGAATTCCAAGTAATAAACAAATAATTTCAAATACCAAAAATTACAATAATCATCAAAAAACGATGACAAAAATGTC